TAGAACACCTAAGAAGGTTCGAAGAACCTTTCCTGCGTTGGGGCAACCCCCTTTCAAGCAACGGCCTAATTTTTGGACTCTCTCGCTCTCTCACTCCTTGTTGTTGTTTTTTTTTGCGAGGACATGTTCAAAACTCCACCTGGTTCCATGCCTTTGAGCTTGGAAGGCTGTCTTTTCCTCGTTTTCCCTGGACCCTCCCTCCCTGCCGCCTTTGCTTCAAGGGAGCGACAGACCGCCCAAAAGGGCGTGTCTTTTCTCGCAGGATTTGGACCCCCCCACAATGACTTCGGTTTCTCCCCGTGGTTCTCCTTTAAAACCAACCAACTGGGACACCCACAAAAAGCAGCTTGTTCGCCACCCAAATTTGCCCCGTGGCGCCGGCCCGAAACCCGAACCCCCTCCCCCCCGAACCCCGAAACTCGCCGCGTCGGCCGAGTCGAGGTGTTTTGCCACTCGGCGATCAAAGCCGCGGAGCGGGACCACGAGATGGTGATCCAGTCGCTGCTGCAGAACAAGAAGGACTTTAGGGAGCCCCTCGGTTCAGACGACAGCACGAGAGGAAAAAGCCGAGCGAAAAAAGGCGGGAGCAGGAAGGAGCCGTTGTTGCCGTTTGGGGCAGGGTGTGAAAAACAACCCGAGGGTTTTACATATGTATTTACTCATACTCATATACTTATATACATGTGTTGTTTTTTTTGCTTTGGCAAACAACGTTGATATGTTATTGTTCAAGCATTGATTTCAATCAAACAAGCACAAGGCAAAGGCGTGCTGGTATTTGCTGGGTGGGGATTCAGGAACTTGGATATCCAAGTGGGTAAGCATCTTATCACGTGGATCAATTTACCTGAGGCAACCAAGGGTTGCCACCCGATAAACAACCAAACAGAGAAGAGCGAAGGGTTACTTGCTTTCTTTCTCGAGCCGAGCTGGGTAGCGCTGAAACGATGTATCCCATTTATTTTTAGGGTGTCATCTATCCCAAGCGGAGGATTTCCTCAGTATGGTTACAAGGTCGCTTCACTGTTGGCACTCTTTTTTTTTGTTCTTCTTTTGTTTTGTGGTTCTGTTCATTTTTGGCAGGCTGCAAAAACCGAACCAGGTTTCTGCCACCGTGCTGGGGTTGTACTTCACCCCCCCCCCCCCCAATCCCTGGCCCTGGGGCGAGGCAAGTCTACTTCTTCGAGGCAAGTTGTAACGAGCCGGGGGTAAAACGAGCTCCTTACTGGGGGATTCCTTACTCACTCCAAATACTCACGTTTTGTTAGGGTATTTTTGGAAAAGCCTGGTTTTCCATGGTTAATACCTCCTTTTTTTAGTAGAGGGTTGACATGATACCGACAAGAATGAAGGTATTGGGTTACGGGGCACTTCCAGCTCGGGAATTCGAGCGCTTCCAGAGAAATATTTACCCCCGACTCCAAATGCCCGGCCTGTTTCTAGTCAGTATCATGTCGACCCTCTACTAAAGGAGGTATTGATCTTGACAAACCGAAACCGGTTTTCCAAGAAATACCCTAGAAGAAGGCCGGGTATTTGGAGTAGGGGGTATGTCTCCCCTAGGCGTCACCACGTACCAAAACGAAACAGTTGGTCCAGAACGATGTCAACTTGGCTTGAAAGGGAACCGCAGCGACCCCTGTCCTTGGCTAGGTCCCCCAGCTAGGTGCCCGTGTTAAGCCCTTTTTTGGTTGGGAGGGTTCCCCTACTAAAATAGACACTAGAGAACAAAGTTGGTACCCTTATTCTAACCTCTCTACTGGAGGACCTAGTTGGGCATGTTTGCTTTTTCGGGCTGGCCTTCCCGTCCTTGAAGGGACACCTCGAGAGGTTTGATGCTTCCTGCTGGGCTAACGTCCAGAAGCCCTGCAAACAGGACCAAACTCTTTGCAAGGGTGACATCCATCCGTCCGTCCGTCCGTCTGTCCAACCAACCAACCAACCCACCAACCCACCAACCCACCAACCCACCAACCCACCAACCGACCCACCAACCCACCAACCCACCAACCCACTAACCCACCAACCCAACAACCCACCAACCCACCAACCCACCAACCCACCAACCCACCAACCCACCAACCGACCCACCGACCCACCCACCCACCAACCCACCAACCCACCAACCCACCAACCCACCAACCCACCACCCACCAACCCACCAACCCACCAACCCACCAACCCACCAACCCACCAACCCACCAACCCATCAACCCACCAACCCACTACCCCACCAACCCAACAACCCACCAACCCACCAACCCACCAACCCACCAACCCCACCCACCAACCGACCCACCGACCCACCCACCCACCAACCCACCAACCCACCAACCCACCAACCCACCACCCACCAACCCACCAACCCACCAACCCACCAACCCACCAACCCACCAACCCACCAACCCATCAACCCACCAACCCACCAACCACCAACCCACCCACCGACCCACCAACCCACCAACCCACCGACCCACCAACCCACCAACCCACCAACCCACCAACCCACCAACCGACACCAACCGATGCACCAACCAACCATCCAAAACTCCGAGGCTTGTGTCCAACCTCTTCATGAAGATTGACGACCTGGGCCTAGGAAGCTCGACGGGATTCGAATCACTTCGTTTGCTTAAGCTTCGCACTCCAGATAAACATGGCACCCGATGATGATGATGATGATGATGATGATCATGATGATGATGATGATGATGATGATGATGATGATGATGATGATGATGGTGATGATGATGATGATGATGATGATGATGATGATGATGATGATGATGATGATGATGATGATGATGATGATGATGATGATGATGATGATGATGATGATGATGATGATGAACATGAACATGAACATGAACATGAACGTGAACGTGAACATGAACATGAACATGATAATGATGATGCACATGATGATGAACACCAGCGGTTTTTTGAGGAATCTCCTTTTGCGGAAAAGAGATCCGTGTCCATTTACAGGGGAGTACTACCTGCAGACAAACACGGAAGCTCCAAAGGGCTTCTGGATGTTGGTTTGAGGGAGGGTATGTTCTTATTTTCTAGGTCCCCCAGCTAGGTGCCCGTGTTAAGCCCTTTTTTGGTTGGGAGGGTTCCCCTACTAAAATAGACTACAGACAAAAGTTGGTACTCTTGTTCTAACCTCTCTACTGGAGGACCTAGTATTTCTTCAATGGCGGTTTCACAAGGGAACCTGTCACGACGGGTTGTTTTTTGCAAAACGGAAGGTGCCACAGCTTCCTGCGGCTTTTCTTGACTTGTCTTCATCTTGGGTCTGTTTTTTCTGAGAGGGTATTTCTTTGAGGGTTGGTTTAAAGGGACACCCGAATCCCGAATCCCGAATCCCGACTCCCGACTCCCGAATCCATACGGGAGTTTCTCTATCAGGACCTGCCTTTTGGGTTCCTACGCACATTGGAAAACCACCCGTGGAGCCCCAGGAATCTGTAAGCTGGCGGAGCAACTGAGGCAGCGCAATCTCAGCAAACCCGTGTCTTACGAAATGAACCAACTTCCATTTTGAGAAACACCCATCTGGGCGTGTCTTCTTTTGAGGGTACCCCTTTATTTTGGTAGGTTTAGGGAAACCAAGAAGGAAGACTGCGCCATTTTGGGGGGCCCAAGAATAAAAACCACGTCTATGTGCCACGTTCAATCCAAATCCTTTGGGGTGCTAGGAAACCGGCCAAGCCCAAGCAGCCAAGCCCATGGTTCGCAACTCGACCAGTTTCGGTTAGGGTATTTTTTATTTTGAGTCACACCCGCATGGTAGGGGAGCCGCATGGCGATTTTCCTTTTCGGCTTCAACCAGAAAAAGAAGCAACCGCCCCAAAACAAGGGTTCCGAGCGAGCAGGCCTCACGAGCAGGGCCTCCGCATATCCCGGGTTGCCCAGTTGCGCCCCTTTTGTCAACTTTTTTCGTGGAATGGTTCCACTTTTTGCACTCAACCAACCAAAAAAGGTCGGATGCCCCTGGAAATCCGGTCATCCGAGCATCAGAGGCATGAGCCAGAACAGGACGCCGATCCCTTTTTTCCCCCCCGGGAAATCCACCGGGCATCTGAGCCCCCTTTAAACTGAACCAAAAAATGTCGGACGCCTTTTTTACTCCTCTGTGTTTTTTTTTTAAACTCAACCAACCGACCAAGAAATGTCGGATGCCTTTTTGCACTCCTCCGCGTTGTCGTTTGTTTCAGGCATGATCACCATCTCGGAGTTCGAGAAGCACTTCAACGACGACGCGGTGCGCGCCTTCTTCGAGTCCCTGGAGATGGGGGCGGCGGACGCCTGGACCCTCTTCGTGGCCCTGGACGCCGACGGCGACAACGTGATCTCCCTGCGCCTCGGGCGTGAAGTTTGGGGCCGAAAAAAACGCGGCAGGCGTGGCAGGCGGACACCGCCGCCGTGCTCTTTTTTGGGGTTTTGCGGTACGCACCAAAGGGTAGGGGGCAGTGATTTATGCCTGAGGACAAGGGTCTTAGAGCTTGTAAGTAGACTGGTTTACTGCGTTGCAAACCAAGAAGACAAGGGTCTTAGTGCTTGTAAGTAGATTGGTTTACTGCGTTACAAACCAAGAAGACGAGGGTCTTAGTGCTTGTAAGTAGATGGGTTTACTGCGTTACAAGCCAAGAAGACAAGGGTCTTAGTGCTTGTAAGTAGATTGGTTTACTGCCTTACAAACCAAGAAGACAAGGGTCTTACTGCTTGTAAGTAGATTGGTTTACTGCGTTACAAGCCAAGAAGACGAGGGTCTTAGTGCTTGTAAGTAGATTGGTTTACTGCGTTACAAACCAAGAAGACAAGGGTCTTAGTGCTTGTAAGTAGATTGGTTTACTGCGTTACAAACCAAGAAGACAAGGGTCTTAGTGCTTGTAAGTAGATTGGTTTACTGCGTTACAAACCAAGAAGACAAGGGTCTTAGTGCTTGTAAGTAGATTGGTTTACTGCGTTACAAACCAAGAAGACAAGGGTCTTAGTGCTTGTAAGTAGATTGGTTTACTGCGTTACAAACCAAGAAGACAAGGTCTTAGTGCTTGTAAGTAGATTGGTTTACTGCGTTACAAACCAAGAAGACAAGGGTAAGTAGATTGGTTTACTGCGTTACAAACCAAGAAGACAGGGTCTTAGTGCTTGTAAGTAGATTGGTTTACTGCGTTGCAAACCAAGAAGACAAGGGTCTTAGTGCTGGTAAGTAAATTGGTTTACTGCGTTACAAACCAAGAAGACAAGGGTCTTAGTGCTTGTAAGTAGATTGGTTTACTGCGTTACAAACCAAGAAGACAAGGGTCTTAGTGCTTGTAAGTAGATTGGTGTACTGCGTTACAAACCAAGAAGACAAGGGTCTTACTGCTTGTAAGTAGATTGGTTTACTGCGTTACAAGCCAAGAAGACCAGGGTCTTAGTGCTGTAAGTAGATTGGTTTACTGCGTTCCAAACCAAGAAGACAAGGGTCTTAGTGCTTGTAAGTAGATGGGTTTACTGCGCTACAAACGAAGAAGACAAGGATCTTAGCTTTTGTAAGTAGATTGGTTTACTGCGTTACTACCCAAGAAGACAGGGGTCTTAGTACTTGTAAGTAGATTCAGGGTACGGGGTTATTGGAAGCGCTGCGCGCTGCCCGCCTCGGCCCAGCCGAGCGTGCAGCGTCTGCTACTCGATTGCAAGCAGCAGAGCTGGTCCAGTCGCGATTCAGGAACGGACAGGTTCTGGCGTCGCTGGACCAATGAAGCTGCATCGGCCGAAGTGGCGAAGGAATCGCCGAGGCAAGGGCAAGGCAATGCATAGGTCCAGGAGCGAGTCACGGAGCCAAGAGTAGGCGGCGTGCTGGGGCAGCGGGTGTCATGCAAGGAAGTCGCGCAGAAACGCTCGACAACCAAAGCAGAGCATTTTGCGGTAGGTCGGTGTCAGAGCCGCTGTGAGAGGTCAGCGTCAGCGCAGCGTCTGCGTCCACGTCCCCACGGACCGCAGCGTCTGCGTCCACTTCTGTGGGTTGCTGGTTGAGCTGGGCTTGTTGGGGCTAGGCCTGAGGCCCAGTCTCAGACATGTCAGACAGGCCGCGGGTTGCTGGTTGCTGCTTGAATGGGTAGCCTCTGTGGGTTGCTGGTTGAGCTGGGGCTAGGCCTGAGGCCGGTCTGGCGCGGCAGGGTGGCGCAGTGCCAAGCCGCCGTATGACCGTATGACCGTATGATAAGTATGATTCGTATGACTCGGCGGGCTGGCGTGTCAGGTGGCGCGGCAGGAATGTGGCGCGCTAGGTATCGAAGTCTCCACGTCGGCGGGCTGGCGCGGCTCTGCCGGGCAGGCGGCGCGGCAGGAATGTGGCGCGCTAGGTATCGAAGCCTCCACGTCGGCGCGGAACTGAAAACAGGCACCAACCATTTTTTGGTTGCTGCCCGCGTGGAGTTGGGAACTGGAAACAGGCATGTCCCATTTTTTGGGACACGCCCGCGTGGAGTTCCGCGTGGAGTTCCGCCGCAGACTGCGCGAACTGCGCGAACTGCGCAGCGACTGCAGCGACAGCTGCAAACTGCGCCGCGCGAAAGCGCGAACACAGAACATAGCACCTCTCTCTTTAGAGGGGGTTTCCCAAATGGATTCTATTCTACCTGAGAGGCTCCTGGCACTCGTCCGTCCAGGAAATGACCTCGTCCTGCGAAGGATTCGAAGTCTAAAACGCTGCGTGCAGGCGTGTGGCTGCAAAATAATGACCCCTAGATATGCGGTTTGGCAAAATGCCCAGCAGCTGCCTTTGTTTCTGCAAGGCGAGCCCCCTCAAAGGAAACCCTGGCTGGCTTTTTTGGTTGGCTTCTGGCTGGCTTGGCTTGGCTCCTGGCTGGCTTTCTGGCTGGCTTTCTGGCTGGTTTGGTTTGGCTCCTGGCTGGCTTTCTGGCTGGTTTGGTTTGGCTCCTGGCTGGCTTTCTGGTTGGTGTGGCTTGGCTTTCTTTTTTTTCCCTGTTTTTTTTAGCTCGCCTTGCAGAAACGCAGCTGCTGGGCATTTTGCAAGCATATCTAGGGGTCATTATTTTGCAGCCACACGCCTGCACGCAGCGTTTTAGACTTCGAATCCTTCGCAGGACGAGGTCATTTCCTGGACGGACGAGTGCCAGGAGCCTCTCAGGTAGAATAGAATCCATTTGGGAAACCCCCTCTAAAGAGAGAGGGCCTCGCCTTGGCCTCCAGCGCATGTTGGTCCACAGCCGCGTCTGCTTCCTGTAGGAGTTCCGTACGCAGTGGTCCACCCAGGGCAGGCGCTCCACGGCCGGGTCTTCAGCATGAGACACGTTAGGCCTGGCCAGCAGGAGGTCAGACCAAACAAATTGTTTTTGGCGATTTCTGCCAATGGAGCTGGACGCCAAGGAACCTCGAAAATTTCAAGGCCCGCCGGGCAGAAGAAATAGTTTTTGGCAATTTCTGCCGTTTACAGCGCATTTGCGGCCAAAAGCGGCCATGGAGCTGGACGCCAAGGAACCTCGAAAATTTCAAGGCCCGCCGGACAGGATCCTAGGAAGCAGACATGGGTCAGGGGGTGGCCAGTGGGTTGCAGAAATTTTGGGTGGGGAAGAGGTTGGGGAAGGAAAAGCGAAGATTCCTTTTAGGAAACGAGATCTGAGCGCCCTTGGCCCCCATGGAGCCGAGGCGAATTGGTTTACTGCGTTCACTACCCAGACAAGGGTTGAGAAGCCTGTAAGTAGATGATAGGTAAGAGTTTATAGGTTGATGTACACCAAAGATCGGTTTATTAGTCTCTGATTTACCGTTTTATAGGGTGCATCCTAAATAGGTCGCTCCCTTCCACCGCGTCTACGAATCTGGGGCGTGTATTCACTGGGTAGTTTTGTCTTAGGTGGGTGAGTTGCGCCGTCGTGTCAACCTATCAACAAACCTGTCCTACAGAGGGAGTTCCCTCCAAAAGAGGTTTGAATTCAAACGCAACGGACGCCCTATAAATCTTGCAGCAGACCTCGGACAACCGTACCGTGCACGAACAGATGTGGGCAAAGCGCCAATTTTCAGGCAACCTGTAGTTGCCAACCACCAATCTACATCCATAGGTGTCCTTTGGTTGTACAGGTAAAAGAAAGGATGGCAATTCCTGGTTGACTGGGTTGTTTCACAACCCGGGGCTATTTATTCAAGGCAGGGTACCAAACGGTACACCCTTTTTCGTACACCGGCCTGGCACATCTCCGCATCGCCAACTTGAGGGGCGCGGATTATCTTGCTTGTGCGATCACACTCCCATGTAGATATCTGCCACCATCTTTCGATTGTTTTCTCGGAATCCGTCCAAATTGGGACGAGCATTGTCCACATGGCTGTGGGTCAAAACCAATGGTACCATGTTGGGGTAGCTGAATTCGCTACCCATTTTAGAACTTATTTTACTTTGGATTTTGACCCACTGCCATTTTAGTTTCTTGCTGGTGCAATAGGCAGGAAATGAGAAATGGAATGACCCAGACATAAACCATCCAAGTGGTGGTTTCCTTACGGCCTCGCCCATTCAAAGGACGCGGATGTTCCGAGGAAAGACTTCACGGAGCGTTGCATGCAGCTGCACGGCCCGGCGCGGTCAGTGGACCTCTATGCCCTCACGCAGCAGAATGCGCGGCCCCCGGTGGCCGGTGGCGGTTTGTGCGGTGGCGGTTCGGTGGCCCCCAGCTAAGTGCCTTTTGACCCCCTTTTTTGGTTGGGAGATTCGGTTCCCCGACTAAACTAGACTACAGCAAGAAAATCGGGAACCAACATATTCTATCCTCTCTGGGTTCGTCCAGTTGGCCGTAAATGTGGGTTTTGGGCCCCTCCCGTTGCTTTGAGAACCCTCGGTGTGGGGCAAGGGGGGTGGGGGGAGGGTCACTGGAAGAAGTAGGGCACGGCTTTTCTGTGGCTGTAAACGGAAACCAAGAGGAAAACCACCATTTTGGGAGTTCCCCTTAAAAAGGACCACCCCTTGGCAGTTCGCTCCACGTCCCTTTTTGGAAACCTCAAGGGGCGATCGCTTCAAGGGAAATTAACGAGTCAATTGATCAACTTTCTATTTGGCCATGGGTTACCCCCAGTGAACATCCCAATCCAACCACTAAAATATAGGTTCTAAAATGGGTGCCATTGGTTTTGACCCATAGCGATTTGGGAAAAAGCCTGGGGGAAATCCATGCGTCCGGTCTTTCGTGTGTTTTGGGCTTCCCGTTTTCGAGCACACTTGGGGTCCCTTGAGATGGTTTTTTTTTTGGTGTCTTGAAACAGTCCAGCAAACTGACCGAAGGTGAACCCCCCAAAATTGCCACTTTTTCCTCTTGGATTCCCTTTAAAACCAAGCAAAACATGGTTGTTGTTGGGAAGCATTTTACTTTGTTTGGCTTATTGTGGTTTAGTGGTTGAAATTCAAATCCACTTGACTGCTAAAATTTTCAAATTTCTGCTCCCCAAACCTAATGTCCACCCAGAAAAGGGGACTGAACTTGAACCCCAAGAATCGACGCACCCAGCTTTGTTTTTGGTCCGCATCCCTGCTCAGGCTCTTTGAAACGGCTGCCTGATTCCATCAAAGCCTGGGTTGTTTCAGGCACCCCAAGTCCTGAGCCCAAGGAGAAAACAGGGGAGGAGGGGTTCCATTTTTTTGTTCGGCGCCTAATGGGCGTGCCGCACATGTGGCAGGGGGACGGTGGCTTTCTTCCTGAAACCCAACGAAGCTTCCGCGAGGCGAAGCTGCGGCAGCAGCTGCAGAACATCGAGGAGTGGACAAATACAATTCGACGGCAGACGACGCCAGCGTGGCGACCCAAAATGGTCGTTTTTCCTTCGGGCGTCCGATTTGCCCTCCAAAAACACCCAGGCGATGTTCATTTGAATCCCTGGCGAAGGTGAGTCAAAGTGGCAGATTTCAGGGGGAAGCTGTCACTCGGGTGCGGTTTCTTTTGGTGGACCGCCCAAGATGGTGGTTTTCCTTATGGTGTCCGTTTTTGTTACTAGTAAAACAAGGCGCCCTCCCAAAGCGGCACTTCATTTTTTTCTTTTCTTTTTTTTTTGCGGGGGGGCTCAGTAGGGCAATGTGGGAATGCACCCAGGCTTTGGTGCCCACAAGAAGGAAACCACCACTTGGATGGTTTATGTCTGGGTCATTCCATTTCTCATTCCCTGCCTCTTGCACCAGCAAGAAACTAAAAATCAATTCGGAATTGGCGCTTTCATGCGCTTTCTCAAGCGCCCGAACTGGCAACAATTCATTGCAAGTCCTCTGGAAGGAAGAGTAAGGCCGCGACAGGGGAGATTCCTTGTTTGAGGGTATCCTTTTTGGGTCCGAAAGGAAGCCAACAATTTCATTTGCTGAAATGATGGTTTTCCTTCTTAAAACAAAAACAACAACTCCCCTGTTGATTTCAAAGGGGATCTATCACTGGAACTATGTTTAGTTTTCCTGGGGACTTAAGCAAATCGAGGAAAAGGCCACACGCGGCAAACTGTTTGCCCATTTTCAGACAGTCCCATTTCCAGTTTGTGAATAAAAGTGTCGTTCAGGCGGCACCGCGTCGTGGCCATCAGTCACCGAGCTATAGTTCGTGCAAGAAAGAAATCTGCACAAGAATCGATGTTCGATCCCTTTGTGGGTGATCATTCATGCAGGTTCCAGTAAACTCGGTCATAGTAGAGTTTGATTTGTGGAATACATCCAGCCTGGTTCAAGAACGGGGGACATCCCACATGAGTTGTTGGGAAACTGCGAATGGTCCTCCTTGAGACTGTCTTGTTTTGAATGTCGACCCCTGAATAGACTCCCCACTTATGAACGGGGCTCTTGCTTTCGTTGGGATTCCTTTCTTCCAGGGGGGACACACCTGAACTCGGGGGTTTGTCACGATCAGGGGTCAGCAATACTGGAAAAAGCAATCCGATTCTGTGCCCCTGACTGTACATCCCGCTTGGATTCGAATCCCATCGAATTGTGCGACTGGGGGTTTCTAGGCATTCTTATTGGATTCGGAGTTTTTTTCTTTTTCCGGCAGAGACTCTGCGAGCTGTGAGAAAAGACGGTGTCGGCCGCCTTTTAGGATGTGCCTCACCGAATCCACTTTTTTTGTTTGTTTTTTCTCCCCCGTTGAAACCTGGGTCGGTGTGCGAAACCTGTTCCCACAGCTTTGCTATTTGAGGCCTTCGCTTGTTCTGCCAGGAACAGCTAAACTCACCCCCTACTCCAAATACCCGGTTTTTCCAAAGGGTATGTTTTTTAAAAACCTGGGTTTTTCATTGTAAATACCTCCTTTTTTAGTAGAGGGTCTAACAAAAAGAGGGTATTTGGAGTAGGGGGCAGGTAGCCAAAATTGCGTTGGATTGGTGATTTGGGGATGCGCAGGGTCAGGCCGCAGGGGGGAAAGGGGACACCGACTCGGCTCCAAACCACCCAAAGACGTGGGACGCTGACAGGATTCGCGCCAAGACACTGTGGTTGCTATTTGACTGTCCCCAAAACTGAAGTTCTTAGTCCTGGACTTTTGGACTACGCGTTTTTTTTCTTATTCGTTTTTTTTGCCCCCCTGCATGTCAGGCAGGGGTCCTTGCCATTCTTTAAATGGGGGCAAGGAACCCTAGGAGTTGATCATTCTCAAATTTCCGCTTTGAAGCGGTCGACATGGGTGGGTCGACTGGGGTTAATTGCGGTCAGGACATGCAGATCCTTTTGCACCGGAAGGGTGCAGCGAGCCCTTGCGCGACCGACTCCGATAGCGCGAAGGACGGGGCCTCAGCGGACGGAAGTCGGAGGAGGTCGGGGGGCCGATTTGGTTTTTGGAGGCTCGGTACCCCCCCGATGTTTTGGTGGCTTTAAAGGAAAGCCGCAAGGAAAACCCAAACCTTGGAGCCCAAAATGCAAGTGGGGGGGTCCGAATCCTAAAGGAAGACACTCATACGGAACCTTCAAAGTTGGTGGACTTAAGGCACACGAGTCCTGACCAGTTTGGGTCCTCCAAGAATGTTTTTACACCCATTTGCACTGCAAGCCTAAAACCCGAGCCTGGGTTCTCGGATGGCGAAGGCTTTGTTGAAGCCGTTTTCACCTGAGCAGCTTGTCGAACAGCGACGCCCATGTCTTTGGTGCATTTTGGGGCGTTTAATCGGGGGGAAGTTGCCTCAAGGACTCGATAACATGTTTCATCGAAACCAGGGTCTTTGGTGCAGCAAGTGGCCATCCTATCATTTAGAAATTTAGACTCAAGCCTGGGTCTATTCGGAGACCCACCCATCACAGACAAGGAAGTCAGGTAAAGGGCGCTCTTAGCCCCTCAGCTAACCAACGTTGGCCCCCAGTAAGTCGGCTTACCCAGCATTTGATTCCACCATTACTTCAGTTGACTTGACGACCAACTTCAGACTTGCTACGCGGCTTTGCCTGGTTCTTTTCTAGGTCCCCCAGTAGTGCCCTTTCTCACCCCTTTTTGGTTGGGAGGGTTCCCTTACTAAAATAGACTACAGAAAAAGAAGAAGAACAACAACGAGTACCAACTTATTCTAACCTCGAACACTGGAGGACCTATCTTTGGGTCCCCCAAAATGTCTAGGGGTACATTCCCCATTCCTAACCCAGGAATCCAAATCTTTCCAGAAAACCTGAAACCCACGGAAAACGGATCCGGTTTTTGAAAAGAACGATGGTTGAAAAGAATGGACAAGGAATCGACCCCTAGAACAAATGCCAAGGGCATGTGCAAACCTCAGATGCGTGGATTTAACTTCCTTTTGGTGCTTCCCTTTGAACTCAAAACCTGGTGGCGTTGCTCAACCCCTGGACACTGGCAAAGGGTTTTCTTGTATTTCCTTTCAAGCCACCGCCTCCCAAGCGGCGCTGCTTGGGGGAGCACCCACGAGAGATTTCTTCGGCTGCAAGCGAGCCCCAAACTACCCCTTGCGCCCAACACCCACTTGGGTTTGGCTCAAAATTAAACAGGAGGGGCTACGCAGGTTTTGGTCCATGTTTCCACTTACCCGGGTTCCATTTTGGTACCGTTTTTTGAGCCACAGCCCCCACTTTTTTTGTTGTTGGTATGATTTTGTTTGTCAACCCTATGGAAACCCAAAGGCGGTTTTTCAACCAGTGCCCACGAGAAAAAGGCATCGGGTATTTTGGAGGTTACGGGGGTAGCTTGGTGGCTCCCAAGGCTTTTAGATCTTTTGAGTTGGTGAAATGTTTTGTTGGGTTTCCAAACTTCACCCACAAGTTATTCACTTGAGATCTGAAAACGGACGGTAGCACCGTTTGAACATTGTTAGTTTGGGCAATGGATGGGTTCCACTGGTTTAGACATTGGTTTTATGAAGGCCCCATTTGCCAGGGACTCCCATCTATTTTTCCAAAAGGTCACCTGGCTGTGGGTCAACACCTATTTTAGTCTATTGTAGTGGGGATTGGGATTTTCACTGGGGGTACGGGCTTTGACACACGGCCACCTATGACACATATGCTTCGTTCGGGATCCCAGTGAAACTGCTTCGTTTGGTCTTTCGTCACCGGTTGAAAAAGCAAATGGGGCTCCACTTGAGGGTTGATCCATATTTCCCTCGGCCCCAGTTTTGACCATGGGTAATTTCCAATTTAAAGTAATTTCCCCCAATAGTTTTCCCATACATCACGAACCTTTTAATCAACCCCCATTTATTCTCGGAACTCCAACCAATTTGGCCGGAGTTGCCACTTTGAGCGGATGTCTACGTGTGCCGAATGCTACGCAGATGCTGAAGAAATAGTTTTGTTTTTTCTTTCTGGTCTTGCTAACAAAATGCTCGAGGGGTCCGAATCCCGTTTTTTGATACATACCCAAAACCTAGAATACAAGAGGGCAAGGGTGTCCTGCGATTGCCCTCCAAAGTCTCCCGACGTCTCCCGACGCGAGGTTGAAGCGGAGACTTGCGAAGTCGGTACGCATTGCCTAGTTTGAGGCCTGGCCCTGCCGACCGGCAGACACCCCAAAAACGTGTTAATGTTAACTGTTAACCCCGGATCTAAGTAGAACCCCTGGTTGATTTTGATCGGGGGGTGTCCCGATTCTTTTAGTGGGGCTTCAGACCACTTTTGGAGGGAACACCCCCCCAATAGTGGGACGGGTTCTACTTAGATCCTGGGTCAACATGATGGCGTCCCGAAAAATCAAAGGGGCGGGTGGTGAGTTCTAGGGCTCCTTAGGGTTCCCTAGGGAGCGTGTGGTCCTTGGGGGGTGATTTGGGTTTTTTCCGGTTGAAGTGCCACAGGGGAGAAGAAGCAGTCGCTTGATGTTTTGGATAGTCAAGCAGCAGGACAGGACCTTATCTTTGGAAAGCCCCGAGTGATTCGATTCCATGCCTTAAGCGCCCGAAACAAGATCTGGTCGGCCACTCGCAGTCGACAAATTGGCAAACCAAACCGCGGCTTTGTGATGGCACGATCCTGAAGGTATGTTCCGACCTCTTAAATCGACCTATAGCTGAATGCAATCCGCGCGAAAGAGTTTCGGCGTTGACGGGCAAGGGTGGGGCTTTCTTTCCCCAGGCGTTCCCAGCGAGCGACGAGGGGGCGCGAAGGCGCGCTTCGGCGCGAGAAGAGTTGGTGGGCCCTGAAATCCTGAAATGGGCCTGTTCACCATACGATTCATACCCGCGTAACCTCCAAATACCCGGCCTTCTGTTAGTTGGTATTCTTGAAAAGCCGATCGGGTTTCCATGGCAAACACCTCCTTTTTTAGTGGAGGGTCGACATGATGCCCTAAAAAAGAGGGCATTGGGGTGTAAGGGGTATCAATTACAAACTGACATTCTTCATCCTCCACTGTTGGGGAGGACATGGGGCGACAGCCCAAATGTCCAACAAAAATCAGGAGGGACCACGTGTTCTCTTGGGCAAACCAAGTAGTTTTGCTTCGACCTTGTTCATCCATTTAAGCTTAAGAATATATTTATTTCCCCTGGTGGTTTTTAGAGGGAATCTATCACTACTGGACATCTTAGGCAAATGGAAGTGTTGGTTTCTCCCAAGCCTTGAAATGAGGGCTGAGCGTGGCTCCCAAAGGCGGCCTATTCCCTTTTTTTTCACCCTCAAATCAATGGTATGGCTGCGGACCCTTTCTCAGGCTTGAAAAGAGGGTCGAACAGAGGGATGGACCAAAAGAAAGGCGGCCGCCAAAAGAAAGGCGGCCGCCAAAAGAAAGGCGGCCGCCAAAAGAAAGGCGGCCGCCAAAAGAAAGGCGGCCGCCAAAAGAAAGGCGGCCGCCAAAATGTCAGAGTTCGACTCCTTCCCCGAGAAGGTTCTGTGTAAATCTTACTTTTCGGATGGCCATTCAAAGAAACACTTTCGCGGGGTGATACTGTGGATGGACGAAATCCTGCACCACCTAAGAAACCCTAGAATGTTGATTCCCCAACGTAAATACCAACAAAAACAATGGCCCCTCATAGTTTCAACTTGGTGCTATTTGTCGTCCATGGGAGGTGTTGGAACACCGTCAATAGAATCCAGTCCAAAAGCCTGTCTATGATACGAATGGAGTGGAACTATGCGGTGAGAAAAATATCAGGTACGACCATGCGCCGCCCACCGGCGAAAGCCGTTCCTTTCAGCCCAGACGCGCAGATAGTTCATGCGCGCGGAAAACTTGTGTGCGGAAGAAGTCCGCTTCCGCAGCGCCCGAAGTACTGGGCGAAGTGCTGTGAGCTCGCCCCCTGTCGCAGATTCCTCTTGGTGCCTGGTGGGAATAATCCTACTTTTAGCTAAAACAGCACGTTTGTCTGAATGAAGCAACGCGTCTCTGCCTGGCAAAGCAACGCAAAGGGGTGTTTCCTTGCGGTTTGTTGGGGTACCTGATTTAGTTGCCTTACCCCTACTGCAAATGCCCTCTTTTTGTAGAGTATGATGCCGACCCTCTACTAAAAAAGGAGGTATTTACCATGGAAACCCAGGTTTTTCAAAAAATACCCTAGAAAAAGTGGGTACATGATTTAGTTGCCTTGCCCGGATGAAGGACACGTGTTTGGGGAGCAACTTCTGTGCACCTCGCTCGGGCGTTTTTAGCTCGGCCCTTGGCGAAGCCAAGAATCGATCGCGCTGTGCTGAGCCACGTGACTTCAAAGGAGCGTCATCTTTCTAGGTCCATTTGCTTAGCTTTTTTTTCCCTGTTGGTTTTTAAGCGAATTCATTACTAGGGGATGATTTTTCCCATTTTTTCCAGGGGACTTCAGCAAATGGAGGTCTAGGTCCGCGGTTTTTCATTTTGCGGTTTCAGTGGGTTATCGAGGTGAAACACCGGGGGCTGTTTCCCTTTAACCTACTTGGCTGAGTTTTGGTTAATGAAATCCATGATGCCAGTTCAGGGTGGAAGACGTTGGGGAGGATGACAAGACGACAACCCAAGCTTTGGAAACCCGGGGGGAGGGGGAAGGGGGCAAGTTGTTCGTGTTGGAGGCCCAAGCTGAACTCAGAAACTCGCGCCAGATTCACCTTGGAACCTTTAGGGGGGGTCCGGGACCCGAAAGGAGTTTCCTCCACAAATGTGAGGTTGTCTTTTGTAGGGAAACCCTCAAATGGTTTTAATGGGGTAACCATGAGGAAAACCACAATTTTCGCTGCTTCCTAATTTTAAGGAAACAACCATGTTACTCTGAGAGGGCTGTATTCAATGTGTTGCATGTTAAAATGGTGTGTGCCCCAAAGTGTTGGTCTCACGCTGCTTACACATGTTTCCATGTTCACCGACAGGCATGCATGAAGTGAATCGTGCCTGAATCGCTTGTTTTGGCTAGTCTATCGTATTGAAATGTGTCTCTTTCTTCTTGTTTTTTTTCTCCTTTTTTTAAGGGGACCCCCTCCCCCCAAAAAAGATAGAGCTTAATAAATAAGTAAACAAATAAATAGGTAGATCACGAACAAATAAATACCGAATAAACATGTCCTTCTTTCCTTTCGGTTGCCCTTGAAAGCCAAAAAGGAGAACCGAGCCTCGAAGAAAGACACAGCAAACTTCCCTTGTTTTTTTTTCAAAAAGGACTTTTGGCCCTAGGGTTCAGCCCCAAAAGCCAAAAGCATGGCAGGGTGACCCAACTTGGATGTGGCCCTTCTGAAGGGTAAATTCTGGTGAAACTTTGACCCCTTTGTTTGAATGGTACCTGAAACGGGCGAAGTGTCGTGCTCAACATAAGTGACCTTCCCGTTTCCGAATTTCCGGGGGGGTTGTTGCTTTCTTGGTGGAGCCTCAAACTACCAACTCAAAGATGGGTTGCCCCGAATATAAAGTGAATGGCCCCCCTGTTCCTTCTTTCGGGTCCTCAAGAGTCTGGTTGGTGGTTTGAATGGTGTGGGTTTGAAGCCCAGCTTCCTGCCGCTGGTCTCAGCTCAGCGAAACTCAATTCCACTTCCGCTTGTATAAATTCCCGATCGGGAAGCTGCGATCAGCTCCTTGCCACCTGCCTGGATAGGCGCCATACGTGTTTTCAAATGATGAACACGAGCATGCATTAGAGTACATAGCGTGTATGTCCATGAATGAAATAATGTGTATATATATATATATATTACTGATTTATATATCTATACACATATCTTCTAAACATAGATATATCCTGTACGTATATACATATATAATATATGTGTATATGTTTCATATATATATATATATATTATGTATATATCTCTTGTATATACATTGAACTTATATATACATATATACATGTACACATCCTGTATGTATATGTATATAGAATTATGTCGTGTGCATAAATATATATATATATATTATAAATATATATGTGTATAAACATATATCTCTTATATATATATATATCAACACATGTATAGATATTATATAGATATAGATAAGTATATATCTTGTATATACCCATCTTGCATATATATGTATATATTCACAGGTTTATTATATGTATATATGCCTTATACACAGACACATATACACATTATATACCTACACATACCATATACATATGTGTGTATATATCTATATATATATATATATACATTGTATGCATACATATTATATACATACACACATATCTTGTATATGTATATGTATATATATATATATATATATTTCCTGTATATATATATATGTATAGGTGTTTCTGATATATACGTATATATATACAACATATGTATATACAACAATATATATATATATAGTTGTATTTTAGGTTGATGTATATATCTAGATTAGATGTTGCATACACACCTATGTCTTCTGTACATGATTCCACATATATATATACATACGTTGTGTAGAATTATATATAAATATATGTATATATGTATGTAAATACATTTTTTGTGCAGTTTTCCACTACGGGTATATATATATAGATATATCTTGTATATCTATTGTGCGTATGTCTATATGTTGTATGCACTTAGATGTACCTTGTGTATATATATATACACCCGTATCTTCTGCATACATATATATATATGTATATATGTATATATGTATATCCTGTGTCTACTTAGTGTATTTTGTGTACATACATATATATATATATATGTTATCTTTTATACTTGTATGTCTTACCATATATATATATATATGTGTATTGAATATCTCTATATATGCACATACATACCTTGACCCTCTACATATGTATGTATATGTTGAACCTGTAAACTATATGCATATCATACATATAAAGATATATGTATATCACATATATATATATATATCGTATATGTATATATAATATATATGTATACACACACCTAGACTTTCTGTATACACATTGCACACACATATATATATATATAGAGATGCACATGTTATTTATAGACATGGGAAAACAGGTGGGTGGTGTTCCTTCTTGCAAAAAGGGTTCCAGTTGGGTTTCCTCAAAAAGGCTGTAACGAATTCTCTCATATATATATATATATATACATATATTATTGTTTGCTTTCCCATTGCTTTTTTAAGCACCACGGCGTGGTTTTTCTGGGCGTCGTTTTCCTCCCAGGCATGGCGCAAGGAGCCACTTGGGGCCTTTGGGTTTGATCCACAGGAGCCTATGTTTTTATCCAAGCTATGAAGTGCTTCCATTTCTCGTTGCTTCCATTTGCCGTTGCTTCCATTTGCCGTTGCTTCCATTTGCCGTTGCTTCCATTTGCCGTTGCTTCCATTTGCCGTTGCTTCCATTTGCTTCTCGTTGCTTCCATTTGCCGTTGCTTCCATTTGCTTCTCGTTGCTTCCATTTGCCGTTGCTCATTTGCTTCTCGTTGCTTCCATTTGCCGTTGCTTCCATTTGCCGTTGCTTCCATTTGCTTCTCGTTGCTTCCATTTGCTTCTCGTTGCTTCCATTCGCTTCTCGCTGCTTCCGTTTGCTCTTCGATTTTTGCCGATTTGCCGATTTCGGCACTTTGGACAGAGACTTTGGTACCTCAAGGGCGCCAAGGCTCCCTTCTGCCTGCAAGCGGACGGGGTCCGGTTCCTCGAGCCAGTTTCCTAACAATTCGAGGCGGTGAATTTCAAGCAAAAAGCGTGCACACCTACAGTTTGCCGGAGGGGAGGAAGGGCGCTTGTTGCAAGGCTGGGCATTTCCCATTTAACAGCTCTCCATGTGAATTTTCTTGGGTCCCGGACGCTTTGGGTGGAAACTCATGACTACTGTGGAGGTGGTTCAGAAGCCTTTAGCCTTCCATTTGATCCAAACCATTCTTATATGTTCCCCTGCTTCAAAAGGAATCTGTCACTGCACATATTTGTTCATATTTTTCCGGGTGTTATATTTCCCCTGCTTCAAAGGAAATCTATCACTACTGGAATCAATTTTCTTTTTGTTGCCAGGGGTCATTTTCGCAAAACGGGGCACCCGGTGCCCGGAACTATCGATGTGCCAAGAAGCTCAGGCGGTTCCTGGGAATGGTATGGGGTGTGTTATTCACCCAAATTTTCAGATCCAAGTTGGGGTTTACTCACCAAGGTCTAGACACCAATATTGACTAAGGGCATGGAAATTCTCCTTGATCCTCCAATTGGCGTGTTAAATTAGCTGGACCCTCAAATCATTTCGGGTTTTCCTAGCTGCACTTTAAACCGACCTGCAAAGTTCAGGAAGTCTACCAGAGTTGGGCTGACCTGCCTCCAAGGATAGAAAACCATATTTTTCCAGCAGCTACATGGTTTCGACAGGCTTTTGCAAAAGCTCCGGCGTGGCGTTTTTTTCGGAGCGGCCGGGGCCTTTCGGATTGCAGAACACTTCTCTGCGCTCGTAAGAACTGCGGTTTGTCCCAGCTTTTGAACACTTTGAGCCACATCTCTTTCCCCCTTTTTCCCTTTGCCAGGTTTGTATTCCGATTTTGTTTCCTTCTTCAGATCAAATCGATGAAAGGGAGCCCTTGGTTTAGACACAAGATTCAGGCACCCTCCTGTGCATGAACATGGAGCCCACCAGAGAAATGGCTCCCTTTTAAACAGGGTTCCTTAAAAGATACGGCTCTTGCAACCATTTAAAACATGTGGCTTTTTCAACGCCAAAATATAGTTGGAAACCACCATTTACAAGTTGCAATGTTCAGGTGTTTTTCATGCATCCGATCCCTGTTAAAGGACCCTCGTCTTCCCGAAAAGGACGGGACCCGAACATTTTCCGGCTCCAGGTTGTTTTCGGGATGCATCCCAACCGCTTGGGACCCGGAAAAAGTCAAAAGCTAGTCCCCGCTTCAGTCAGCTGCATTAAGTTCAACACAAAAGGAAAGCTGGAGCTTTCAGTTTTTTTCCCCCCCCTGGTTCCCTTTGACACAGAACCATGACCTATGTGGCTCATCCTTTTTTGAGGCTGCCTGAAAAGGGTTCTTGAAGAAGGGGAGCCAAGCGGAACAACGAAGGCAGAAACCACACAAAGTGGTTCCCAGCCATACGGTCCCTTAGCTTTTTGGATATCTTTTTGGTTGGTTGAGTGGTTTTTCCTCGCTATTTTTTCATATCTTGTTGAGTGGTAGTTCCCCTCCAACAAGTTTGAAGTCGAACTTGTTCTTTTTTTCCCCAACAGCTGAAAGCTTTGGGGTCTCAGCCCAGATAGGCTCCGTGTTGGTCCGGGGCGGGTTCGAGGTAAGGTTCCACGAGGCTTCCACCAGGCTTCCACCAGGCTTCCACCAGGCTTCCACCAGGGTTCCACCATGGTTCCACGAGGGTTCCACGAGGTTCTGCGAGGGCTGTGGGGTGGTGCAAGCACTAAGAGCACCGCATGGGGATATCCCAGCTGATTTTCCTTCTCCGGATGTCTGAGAACGGGATCTCCAGTTCAGATCTGGCTCCGAAGCCGGACGGCCGAGGCCGAGCGACCTGCTGGCCAGCCAATCGGAGCCCTGGAAAGAAAGCTGGGGCTTTCGGTCCCAAGTTGGCTCCTCCACCCTTTGAATATGTAGCATCCTCGCCTAATGGTCTCATGTCCTCTTGGGGAAACACTTCTTCTTTTTTTGCCCCTGCAACTTTCAGTGGTGTCGTGTGTTCTTTTCCGAGGGTAGCCAAAGGAGCCCCAAATCATGTTCTAGGTTTGTTTGGGTTATTAACAAGCCATCAATCATTTTGACCAACCGGTTTTCCAACCGTGGAACTGACCAACCCTCAATCAGACCCCAATCAATCATTGACCAACCAGTGATCAACCATCAGTTCTCAACCAATACTCCATAGTTCACTCGCCTGCAATTACTTATATCCCAACCAATCATCAACCATCTATCAATCATTCATTCAGAAGCAGTCAGCTCAGTACTCAGACAATCAAATCAGCAGTCATTTGTTTCATTGAGCAATCATCAACCGCAAGCCAATCCTCATCAAAAGTGATGCTGGCAGGAAAAAACCATGTACTCTGAAGCAGCTCAAAATCCAGGTCAAAAAGAAGAGTTTTCTTGGCTCAACCAGCCATCTGGTTCAACTTAGCTATTTAGATATCTTTAGTTGGTTTAGTGGTTGGGTTTCCGAATGTAACCCGCTAAACGCTGTTGGATGTGTCTTTGTTAGGATTCGTACCCCCAAAATGGCTTCGGTGGTCGTTTTGGTTTCCCCTTAACACCCTCCAAAAATGGGTACCTGGAGTCTCCATGACCCTTTAAAAATGGGGTCATTACCCAAAATAATGGGGTCATGGACCCATTTTTAAAGGGTCATGGAGACTCCAGGTACCAATAAAAAATGACACGCCGATTCATCCAACAACTGGTCTGATCTCAGCTCCTCGACTCGCTTCGCGCTCCGAGGATACGGAAGACGAGGCCTTCCGAAAGCGTTTCGGCTTGCGGCTTTCGCGCGGATGGGCTCGGGTTGCGGCGGCCAAAGAGATGGCCCTAGGAGGTTCTACCGCATTTCAGTGGGATGCCCTGGTTCTCAATTGGGTGTGGCTCAAAATTAAACAGGAGGGGTTACGCAGGTTTTGGACCATGTTTCCACTTACCAGGGTTACGAGGGTTCACTTTTGGTACCGGTTTTTTGAGCCACAGCCAATTGTTGTCAGAATTGGGCCAACCGACTGTTTCGGCTTGTTTGAATCTTCTCGGTGACTCGGCATGAAACATGTGGAGCTTTCAAGTCTGAACTCAGACATGGTGTGCAGGTCTTCAGTGCCAGTCTGAACTTGGAATACATGCCGTTGATCTTTTGACCCATCACAGTTGTTTACTGTCGATTCTCCTCTTTAGTGGACTTGTGCACTATTGGTCAAACGAGCTCCTTTTGGCTTCCCATTTGAAAGGGGCCAGAGTTTGATTGTGAAGCAAACACATTTTGCCAGTGGTAGTTCAATTGTTGCTGGTTGTTTGTTTGTTTGCTTGCTTGTATGTATGTTTGTTTGTTTGTTTGTTTTGTTGGCTGGCTGGCTGGCTGGCTGGCTGGCTGGCTGGCTGGCTGGCTGGCTGGCTGGTTGGTTGGTTGGTTGGTTGGTTGGTTGGTTGGTTGGTTGGTTGGTTGGTTGGTTGGTTGGTTGGTTGGTTGGTTGGTTGGTGCGATTGTTGTGGTTGTTGGGGTAGTGTCTGTGGCTATGGTTGTGGCTGTGGCTTTGGCTGTGGTTGCGGTCGTGGTGGCTGCGGCGGCTTCCTTTAGGAATCCGCGTCAAAATGAGAATATTCTGCCAGGGCAATCGAATCTCTTGTCAAGGGCATTTCCAGGTATGGGTTTTGGATTTACGGATGCAATACAAACCACGAACAACAAGAAGAAGAAGCATGTAACGCAGTACCCCTGATCTTCTTAAGTGGTAACCTCCACGCCTCCAATTCTTTTTGCGAGTCTGCGATCTCGGTGTCGAAAAGATTTTCCTAAAACACCTGTCATCATGGGGGCTGAGGGGGGAGGGAGGGGAGGGGAGGGAGCCCAAATAAGCCCTTATTGAGCCCCTAATAAGGCCTTACTTGGGGCTTATTCGCGCTCCCTGCCGCCCCCCCGCTCCCTCCCCACCACCCCACCCCCCCTCCCTCCCCCCAGCCCCCATGTCAGATGCGCAGGCAGATGATCCGGAGGCATGGGCCCCATGGGTCCATTGGGCCGAGAATCGGCCGAGCCAAGAATCGGCCAACGCCTTCTCCTTGACCATGGACACCTGTGAGGTTCAACTGCAGGGTACCAAGTTTAACAGGGCTCAAAAGATCTCCATCTTGCCTTTCCATTTGAGTTACATGTTGCTTTCTTTTTCAACACCGAAGTACAGAAATAGAAACCACCATGTACAAGTTGCAATGTTCAGGTGTATAATGTAAGGATCCCTGTTTAACTGAGGTTTAGTCCTTGACTGCTATTTGGGTTGGATCTTTAGACTTTAACTTTTTACAAAATTCAGGTGGTTTCCAGTAAATCCCCCCAAAAAATAAGAACTTTTTGCAGGGGGGTCAACAGCAACCAAGAGTTGGGGTTACGGTAAGGACGACATAAACCTGTAGAACCATGCTAGTAGAACCAAACGTCAATAGCTTTGGGGCACAAGAACCAGCCCAGCCCTGGTTGGGAACCAGATTGCTTGGGGGAACACCCGATTGCTGAATTCAGGTTCTGGAACTCTCCTTTGCTTCTTTTTCAATGACTCACCAAAGCTAAGATTTGGTCAGGTTGCCAGCGGGAAAAAAGAAGGGTGCTGCCCTGTTGGCATAGTCCAAGCATCATGATCTTTTCTCACCGCAGATTTTGAACCATAAGTGTTCTTTTTGGTTGTTCTCGAAAAGTACATGGCGATTCCGATCGGTTTACCTGGTGGTTTAATCATCCAGGGAAATCCAAATCTATTTCCCCTAAATGGCTGTGGTTGTCAAAACCAATGGTACCATTTTGGGATAGGTGAATTCACCACCCATTCTAGGGCCTATTTTAGTGGTTGGATTGGTTGATGTTCACTGGGGGCTAACCGATTTGGGTTTTGACCCATGGCCAAATCTGGGTCACCCCCCCAAAAAAAGAAACGACCCACCAAAATGGTGCTTTTCCTCTTTCCCTCCAGAGCAACCAAAGGGGTACAGAGACCTTGTTCACCTCAACGAAGGGGTTTTGACCCGTGGCCAAAGAAGGGTGTCCTTCACAAGGGGTCAAAAGGGTTTGGACCCATGTGGACATGGTTTTGACCCATGGCCAATTTGGGTTTTGACCCATGTTTTGAAGCCTCTCTGTCCGCAAAACATTGCTCAGATATGCCATTTCCCGAAGGGGCCTCGGACTTGAGCCGCAGGGCTCCTCAAAAGGTACGGCTCTTGCAACCATTTGAAACATGGCTTTCTTTTTCAACACCAAAACACCATGTACAAATTGCAATGTTCGGGTGTATAATGAAAGGATCCCTGATGGATTGGACTGTTGGTTCGTGTTTGACAACTGGAATGCACCCAAAACCCTTCCGAAGGCGCCATGAGGGGGCATGTTTACTTGCCCAGTGGAGCTGGTTTTTCCACAGAACTCTTGCCAGCTACGCCCATCAGCGTGCTGAAGGCTGCAGCGCAGCAGCATTTCCAGCGCCGCTTGAAGCTCACTGCGAAAGGCCGGCAGCTCGATTTGACGGCCACGCTGGGTGAGGCCGGGTTGCGAGATGAGGATGTGGTGGTAGCCGCCGTTGCGCAACTTGGCAGATTAGCTGCCACTCGCAAGGCATTTGCTTTGTGTGGTCACGGAGACGAGGTTGTGACTTCGGGTAGTCCAGAATCTGGGGGAGACAGCAGCCAGGTGCAAGATCAACTGAGACAGGTGCATCACATCCAAGCAGCCGAGCATGCTTTTGCGGCCATCCTTGAATCTGGGGCTGTTGTGACCTGGGGTAATCCACAATGGGGCGGAGACGGCAGCCGGGTGCAAGAGCAGCTGAGGAACGTCCAGCACGTCCAAGCAACTGCCCGTGCTTTTGCTGCCATTCTTGAATCTGGGGCTGTTGTGACCTGGGGTCATCCACACTTCGGCGGAGACAGCAACCAGGTGCAAGAGCAGCTGAGGAACGTCCAGCACGTCCAAGCAACTTACAAAGCTTTTGCTGCCATAACTTGAATCTGGCGCTGTTGTGACCTGGGGTTGTGCAGATTTCGGCGGAGACAGCAGCCAGGTGCAAGAGCAGCTGAGGAACGTCAAGAACATCCAAGCAACTGAAAGTGCTTTTGCTGCCATACTTGAATCTGGGGCTGTTGTGACCTGGGGTGAGCCACACTTCGGCGGAGACAGCAACCAGGTGCAAGAGCAGCTGAGGAACGTCCAGCACATCCAAGCAACTGGAGGTGCTTTTGCTGCCATTCTTGAATCTGGGGCTGTTGTGACCTGGGGCGATCTACGCGGGGGCGGAGACAGCAGTGAGGTGCAAGAGCAGCTGAGGAACGTCCAGCACATCCAAGCAGCCAAGCATGCTTTTGCGGCCATCCTTGAATCTGGGGCTGTTGTGATCTGGGGCTATCCACACGGGGGCGGAGACAGCAACCAGGTGCAAGAGCAGCTGAGGAACGTCCGGCACGTCCAAGCAACTGCCCGTGCTTTTGCTGCCATTCTTGAATCTGGGGCTGTTGTGACCTGGGGCGATCCAAACTGGGGCGGAGACAGCAGACAGGTACAAGAGCAGCTGAGGAACGTCCAGCACATCCAAGCAACTGAAACTGCCTTCGCTGCCATTCTTGAATCTGGGGCTGTTGTGACCTGGGGTCATCCGCACCATGGCGGAGACAGCAGCCAGGTGCAAGAGCAGCTGAGGAACGTCCAGCACATCCAAGCAACTAAGTATGCTTTTGCTGCCATACTTGAATCTGGGGCTGTTGTGACCTGGGGTCATCCAGAATAAGGTGCAAGAGCAGCTGAGGAACGTCAAGAACATCCAAGCAACTTCCGGCGCTTTTGCTCCCATCCTTGAATCTGGGACTTTTGTGACCTGTGGTGTGTTGTAAAACGGCGTCCAGCCAATCTGGAGCAAATGAATGAAAGAAGGGAACAATCCAAGGCACGGTTCCATTGACGCTTGGCAACAGCGTGTCTGGCTGTGTCTGATTTGTAACCCCCCCCTCCAAACAAATGGCATCGGTTTTCGTTTTGGTTTCCCTTTTACGGCCACAAACAACGGGCACCGAGCCTCAAACAAAAAGACAGACCCTTTTTTTAGACCCATTTGTTGGTGTTCGGCTCTTGGGTTTCTTAGCTAGGCTACCAATGGTGAGCGTCGTTGTCTTCCCATGAGAAGCCAAAAGATACAACCATCTTCGATTTGGTCTTTGCGACCAAATAGCAACTGAAAAGGACCTGTTATAGAAAGCGGCTTTTTGGCCTTTGGCTCGATGCAGGGTATCGGACCCGTTTCAGCCCAGCGAATTGTCCCGAACCCAACGGCAGGAAGGGCGCAGGTTGGGTGTGTGTGTGTGTCCTTTGTTGGGCTTCCCCAAATTGGCGTGCGCAACGTGCTTCAGTGATCCTGGGGCAAGGACATCCCCCAGGTAAATGGATCCACCTAGATAGCCAAGTTGCTGCTTTTTTCAGTCACTGTTGCTGGTGTCTGGGGCAAAGTGCATGGAAAAAAACGGTGCCCTTTTGCCCTTTTTTGGTTGGGAGGGTTGCCAAAACAGACTGCAGACAAACATCGGGCACTCACTTCTTCTAAGCTCCAAAACTGGAGGACCTAAACCGCTCGGACTTGCTGAAGCAACTCTTCTCGCTTGCATCGACGCCAAAATGGAGCCAGGTGGGGGTCAAAATTAAACCGCTAGGAATTGGACTGCAGGCTTTAGTCCATGTTTCCATTTACTAAGGCAACCCATTTTGGGGACCATGCTTTGACCGGCCAAATCCAAACCACGGACCACCAAACCACCAACCTGACGGGTCACCTGAAACCGTGTTTTGATTCATAGGCATTCCCCCCCCTCAAAAAAAAAACACGTAAAGTTGGAATTTCCCAACACCCAGAACCACCGAGTGGGAAGCGGGGAGCCATTTGGCTGTGGCTCAAAAAACCGGAAAATTCCAAATGGGTTGCCCTGGTAAGTGGAAACATGAACCAAAACCTGCGGTTTGCCCCTCCTGGTGAATTTGAGCCACGCCCATTTTGGGGTTACCCCACCCACCCATAACCACCGAGTGGGAAGCGGTTCCAAAAATGGGGTTACCCTATTCTTGACCACCGCCAGGTGCGGCAAAAGCAGGAGAACGCCCTCGCGGCCTTCCGCGCCTTCGAGGATCGAACGCCGAGGGGAGCCTTGGGCGGCGGTGGGTTTCGGGAGATCCGTGCCATGGGACCGGTGCCGACTTTTCTTTCCAATTGGCTGAACCTGTTTTTTCTTCTTTTTTTGTTTTCTTCTTGTTCTTCTTCTTTTCTTTTTTTTCAAACAAATCCTGGCATTTTTTATTTATTTTTTTTTACAACAACAAATCTCCTGTTGGTTTTAAAGGGAATGGATTTCACTACTGGAAGTATTTTCTCTCATTTTTTTTCCAGGGGTCCTCACCAAATGGAAGTTTGCTTCACTGTTGGCAAGAATTCTTCTGGGTGAATTATAACGACCTCACACGACCTCACCCCAAATGGTGGTTTATGTGGGGCATAGCCCCCCAACCAAGTTTCAGGTTGGTGAAATATTATAGTTCACCCAGATCCTTTCTGTTCGATTTTAGGTTCGGGGGCTGCAAAACAGCAAGTTGTTTCCTCCATACCAAGGGTTGTACAGTTGATCTGGGGTGGACAGGGATGGTTAATGCACATGGTAAGGATCCTTCATCGGTAGTATGTTGCTATTCAGGGGATAGCCATTTGGCTCACGCTTTTCATGGCACAAGTGCTTGAATAAGTGCTGGCAGCACGAATCAATGCGCATTTTGCTTTAGTGGCATGAGCGTGCTTTCCCAAAGTGAGTTGCGAAAGGGAAAGGGGAATCCACCCTTTCTGGGGCTCCCCTAATTTGAGACATACCATATCTATCTCTGAATTTTGTTGAGGCTCGGGACCCCTGGAACAGTGGCTTCAAAGGAGACCCAAAGGAGATGTCTTTTTAAAGCAGCCGACAAAAGGGGGGGGTCTTTGGAGTAGGGGAGTATTCATCATTACCCGGGCATGGGAAGAGGTGCCGAAGGCGCCCGAGAGGGCCAAGAAGGCCTGGCTCATCTGGACCTTGGCTCGGAACCAGCGAGTCCTCGAATCCTCCAGTTTCAACTTCGCCGAGATGTCTTCCGGTTTTTCCGGTGTTTCGCGCTTGGAACCTTCCGAAACAGTTCACCAAGCACGATTTTTTTTCCGCCTCGCAGCTGCGGCTTGGATCCCTTGGACCCCGGCAGAGGAACCATCGCCTGGAGATTTTTCCGAATTGGGCAGCCTTGAAATAAAAAGGGGTAGCCATGAGCCTTGCCATGGTTTTGGGGGTGGTCTGACCCTGCCCATGTTTTTGAAGGGTCCTTAGGGCTCGAGACTCCAGGTGTCCCTTTTTGGTGGTGTTGAGGCCGAAAATCGGTTTCTGGTGGTTTCAGAAACCTACCATCTTGTTTCCAAGGACACCGCGATGCAGAAAACGCCCTATCCAAGAAGCTGGTGCTCAGGGAATGAGAAATGGAATGACCCCGAGAAAAACCATCCAACCTATGGTTTCCTTTATTCGGGAATGCCCTAAACCGGTTCATGTCCAACACCCGGATGGGTCATTCCCATCCTATCGCAACAAGGAAACTTGGGGTCTAGTGGTAGTTTCCACTCAGCCCACCAAGAAGTGATTCACTTTTAGGTCATATGTAACTTTCCCATTTTCAGTGGTTGAAAGATCCATCTTGTTGGCGGCTTGTTCATCGGATCTGAACACGGGCAGTCCAGGAGTTCGACCGCATCGGCCGCGAACGGGACGCGATGCTGGCGAAGCAACCCGGGGGATTTTTTCGGTTTTGTCTTCTCTCTTTTTTTGAGGCGAAGGGTACCTGTTTCGGTGGTTTGAGAGAGAAACCAGGAGGGGCACCGAAGCCTCTTTCTTTTTTTCTTTAAGAGAGGGGCCCCTTAAAAGACCCCATGTTTTTTGGGATTTGGTGCAGGTTTTCGGTCGGGGGATTTGCACAGACAGGTCGGGTTGCTTCATGTTACTTCCTTTTTCCCAAGCTATAGGTGCAAACCCATTGCTTGACGAGTCTTTGTTCAAAGCCAATGCTGGAGATGGAAAGCTTCAGAGTTGCCCAGTGGCGCGTTGTTTTTGAGGCGCCCCGGTTTTTGTCGGGGTTTGAAGGGACGTCAAAGAGAGGCCGCCCATTTTTTGGGCGCCAAGCTTCCGACTTTGACCAAATCCAGTTTTTGTCCTGTGACCGTTGCCTTTTCAGTTGCTGAAAGCTTTGGGGTCGATGGGCCCAGAGCTCCAGAGTCTTCCGGCGATGCTTTTCTGCTCAGCTCTGCCGGAGGTTCAAAGGCTCCCTTGAACTTGGCTCAAGCGAATCATCGGCTTCAACTTGGGGTTTTTAGTGGTTTTTGGTTGGGTGAGTGGTTGGGTGTCCGAATTTTTCACACACGTTTTGGGTCACTTCTAGCAGGGGATCTGAAAAAGGACAGCTTAGTTAAAATCACCCCCCCACCAAAACTTCACTGTTCTTGGCATGCTGTTTTGTTTTTTAGTCTTTTGGTTTTCTGTTCAAACTTTTACTGGGGGTCTGCAAAAAACAGTCAGTTTTTCGCTACCATACCAAGAGTAGAGATGAACAGAAAAAAATGCTTCTTCTCCATGGCACTGGGGGGTTTGGGGTACAAATAGGCGGGGAGATTCTCCCAGATGGAGTTTGCTTCTTCGTCGATTCGCACAACTCGTTTGAGTGAAAAGCATATTGAATCGGCTGAACTCTCCAAACAAACCTCCCCAACACCCCTTCAAAGCCTAGTTGGTGGCAAAGCTTCCCAAAACTCATTCAAGCCTAATTGGTGACAAACCTTCCCAAAACTCATTCAACCCTAGTTGGTGACAAACCTTTCCAAGAGTCCTTCAAACCTGTCTTGGTCTGGGGTAGACTTAGGATACATTTTGCCAGTGACTCAAAGGGAAGCAACCAATAAAGTATACATTCTATAACTGGGCCTAACTCTAATCATGTTGTGTCAACCCTAGTTGGTGACAAAATTCAAACCATCATGTTGTGACAAACCTTCCCAAGAGTCATTCAAACCTGTTTTTGTGTATTCCTTCTTCTCCAAGTTTTGCCGCTCTGTTCAGCGCCTGAAAAGAAAAGCTGACCCCTGAGAGGTATCGCGACAAGTACGGCTGATCCCGTGGGAGAATTCGAGTTGCCAGACGCCAGCCCCGCAGTTTCCTGGTTCAACCACTTCATCCGGCGACACTTCACTGTTGGATCTCAAGTTTTTTTTTTTTAGCCATCGAATCTCAAGTTTTTGTCAATTATTATCATTTTGTTTAAAGACAAAACACATTTTTAGCCTTCGGATCTCAAGTTTTGAGGTGTTTGTTCTTTTTTGGTTTTCGGCTCTGTTCATTTTTGGCGGCAACAGAAAAGCAAGCGTCGTAAAGTAAACCCCAGTTACCGCCTTTTTCCTTGGTTTGGAGCCCGGTTTGGTTGAAGGAGTCCCTTCTTGGGGGCAGATGGGGTTCAGCTTTTTTCCGCCAAAGCGGTGGGAAGGAAGCTGACTCGTGGGCGCCCGCCGATCGCCGGCCGCCGCTTTTTTCACCGTGCGGCCTTTCGCGGAGAAAAAAAACGGACGGGGTGTTTGGAGGTGTCGCCCTCGAAACTGGGAGTGAGGGGGGACAAAAGCCGCGACAAAGGCGAGAAAGCATGAATGGAACGCTCGGTTTTGGGCATTTTCTGGCGAGTGGGATCGTGGAAGTCATGGCAACTCAAGGTTCTTGGAGGAAAGGTTGGGTCTTTTTTTGGGACCACAAATGGTGGTTGTGCTTTTGGTTTCCCTTTAACGCCTCCGAGCGAGTCGGGTCCCCTTTGTGAGCTTGAACACCTTGTCATTTTAAGCCACCTTTGGTATCTGTTGAAATATAGCCCATTACGCTAGCAGTCATGCTCAGTTGTACAGTTGAGACTGATGTTATGTTCTGGCTCAAGGCAAATAGGCGCTCCGAAGCGACCTGGGGTGAGTAAAGTGATATGCACGTAGCGGGGAGCCAAGCCGATCCAGGAAAGAGATCAATTTGGTTCTACGGTAAAGGACGACCCACCCACCCACCCCACCCCACACCCCACCCCACCCCACCCCACCCCACCCCACCCCACCCCACCCCACCCCACCCCACCCCACCCCACCCCACCCCACCCCACCCCACCCACCCCACCCCACCCACCCCACCCCACCCCACCCCACCCCACCCCACCCCACCCCACCCCACCCCACCCCACCCCACCCCACCCCACCCCACCCCACCCCACCCCACCCCACCCCACCCCACCCCACCCCACCCCACCCCACCCCACCCCACCCCACCCCACCCCACCCCACCCCACCCCACCCCACCCCACCCCACCCCACCCCACACCCCACCCCACCCCACCCACCCCACCCCAACCCCACCCCACCCCACCCCACCCCACCCCACCCCACCCCACCCCACCCCACCCCACCCCACCCCACCCCACCCCACCCCACCCCACCCCACCCCACCCCACCCCACCCCACCCCCCCACCCCACCCCACCCCACCCCACCCCACCCACCCCACCCACCCACACTCCCACCACCTGCCCACCCACCCATACGCTCTGAAGTGTGGGTGATTTTTTGCGAGACTTCCGCGAAAGAGCGAAAGCACGCGCGAAAGCGCAGGCTCGGAAGTCAGTGTGCACTGAAAAGTTGCGACTTCCAGCTAGAGCTGCGGAAGTGTATTTCATGTATTGACTTGGTCCTGCGGCTTACCAGCTGGAGCTGCGGAAGTGCATTTCGGGCACTGGTGCTGCAAAGTTGCGACTTTTTAGCCGGAGCTGCGGACGTGGCATTTCATGTACTACCCTTGTGCTGAAAAGTTGCGACTTTACAGCTGGAGTTGTGGAGGCACATTTCGCGTATTACACCGGTACTCAGAAGCTGCGACTGTCTGACTTCAGCAATAAAAAGTGCACGGCGGTGAAACCGCGGAAGATTCGCGAAGGATGGCTGTTTCGAGGTAAAGGAATTTAGAACAACCACCAACGTTATTTTTGTGTACACAAACTGGATATGATGCATTAGCATTGCGCTAGGAAGCACTTGCTTGAAGAGGCCTGTAATGTTGAGACATGTCCAAGCTGTGTGTGTCTCTGTGTTTTTCCGTCTGCGGGTGTCTCTCTCTCTCTCTCTCTCTCTCTCTCTCTCTCTCTCTCTCTCTCTCTCTCTCTCTCTCTCTCCCTCCCTTACACGTGCGCTCCTGCATGTGTGCAGCCCCTTGAGCAACATGATGTGCTTATGTCCTGCCGCAGTGTGGGCCAAACTTGCCGCTTGCAGGTTTGTGCAACCCATTCGGGTTTCTCTCAAAATCCCCCGAACCCCCCCCCCCCCGCTAAAGAAAACAAAGCTCAAACGATCGCTTTGGAATTGTGATTCCTATTTAAAGCCGCGCCGACCGACTTTCTTTTGCAAATCAAATCGCGACCCTGTTTCGGCCCCAAATAGGCACCCTTTTTGGGGGTCCAAATCAAAGCCATAATCCAAAGATGGCGGAACTGTTTGGGCGTGTTGTTTTGGAGTTGCCCCTTTGTGGGCGTTCAAGGGGAACCAAAAGGAACACCCTTCGTTGCACGCCATTTTTGCGGTCCTGTTTTACCGGTTTCCGGTTGGAATCGATTGGTTACGTCCCGCAACCCCGTGAAGCTTGCCACTCCAGGTGAAGTTGAAAAAGGTTGGGAATTTATGCTCCGGGATTCAAAGCATAAAAGCGATGCTTGGGTCAATGTAGCCATTGTTTACCGTTCAGGATTGTCATCATCTAAATTGGCGGTTCCCAGCCGTCCGCTTCCTCATATTTTTTGTTGGATTTCTAGGGTTTAGTGGTTGGGTGTCCGAAGTTTCACCCACGAAAAGTTCATTCATTTTTCCCGCATAAGACCTCAAAACGGACCGCCCAGTAATTGAGGATTTTAACTTTCTAGGGTTTAGTGGTTGCGTGTCCGAATTCACTAAAAGTTCAGGACAGCCCAGTTAAAAATGGGGTCATTGCCCAAAATAATGGTTGGTCATGGGCCCATGTTTAACGGGTCTTTACATGGTTGTGGTTGGACACATTTTACATTTTTGCTTATTGTGGTTTAGTGGTTGAAATCCAAATCCACTGAACTGCTAAGCTTTAAATGTTTGCTCCCCTTTCAACGTCAACCAAGCTTTAGGGAGACTCCAGCTACCCCTGGCCATTCTTTTCATGGCCCGCTGCCATGGAGCGGGCAGCGGACATGGAGCGCTTCCCTCGCAAGGCTTGCGCCTCGCTTTGGGGGGGACCGGGGCCCTCCGCTTTTTGGCGGCGAAACCACGGGCACCCATTGAGTGTTTTTGTTTTCTTCGTTTTTCTTGGGGAGCAACAGAAGTAACAAACTGACAAAAACATTCTTTTACTTTTTGGTCTTTGTTGGGTTTGTTTAAAGCTAACTAACAAAAAGGTAGCAAGCAAAGAGGGCCCTTTTTTCCCATGGCCACTGACAACTGGAATTCTAGGAGACTGGTGTGCCAAGCGAGCCGCGGCAGAAGGTTTCGGTTTGCCACAGATTTGGGGCCCCATGAGTGTTTCGCGATTTCAGGCGTGTGAATTTGCCCAGACAAATTGAGGGCCCCCTTCCATTCTGCTGAAACGCTCGAGCTGTTTGACTCTATATATATATATAGATATACGTAGACTTTATTTGGGAACCATGCTGAATATGGGGGCCTTCAGACAACACATAGGCCCCCTTTTTTATGATTGATGTGGACCGCACAGGCAATTTTCAGGATTTGGCAGCATCCTTGTCACAAGACAGTTTCCGAGTTCTTCAACACTTAGTTTCTGGAAATAAAACGACAGGCGCGAAGAGGATTCCAACCGGCTCACATTTGAGTCCACGCATCAGTCTTGGTCTAAGGATCAGCTTGCATACCTACCAAAAAATAGTGTTTATACATGCGTTATATAGGGTACCCAACATCCATTTTTATATAAGGCTAAGGCCTCACGGCGTGTGTCCATTTGGGGTAAGTTGGCCCTTCGGGTTCGGGTCAATGGAGGAAATCTGGCGGGGAGCCCTGCTTGAGTGACGTAACATGGTTGTTGTTAGGAAACATTTTGCAAATGTTTGTTTCTTGTGGTTTAGTTGTTGAAATCCAAATCCACTTAGCTGCTATTTTTTTTAAATGTTTGCTCCCCTTCCAACGTCAACCAAGGTAAGAACAGCCTGCTTAAGACTTAACTTGTGTCTCTCACTGGAGGAACAAGACACTGTTTCCAGTGGTCCCTGTTTTCTTCTCGGCTGACTTGATTATTCAGACGTCCCGCGTTCCGTTTGTTTGGTAGTCTACCAACTAAATAGTTGTCAACCAGTTGTAATAATGGTTATGTCCTGCCTATTTGCAGGTTGTGCGTCCAAGGAGTCGAATGGTACTTGGGACCATGGCCGCGTTGTATAAAGGTCAGTGGGGGACCGTCCCAACCATAAACAATTGTGACTCTTCACATTTGGGTGGACTCCTTTAACACCGGGGTGTTGGTTATGAATCGCTTTCTGGTTGGCTATTTAGCGCTTAATGTGGATCTCGAGGCTCATGCTTTGTAGCTTTTGAATCTTGAAGCAACCCACATGCTCGTGGGGTCAAGCAAAATGTAGTGTCGACATGAACCTGTCCTGCTTCGGAATTTGTTGGTCTGTTGGGCCTATTTGTGGAAGTCGTTTGCAGGTAATTCTGGACTTTAGAGGTATGAACGCTATATACGGCGTATGCAAGGCCTGGACGCTGTGGTACAGATCAGTTCTGTGTGGTACATACGCCTCCACGCCTGAATTAGTTTGTGAGCTGACCGACTCGTAAAACGGATTTCTCTGGGCCTCTTTCTTTGAGGAGCCCAGATGCTTTCCATGTGAAACGAGAACGCCAATGGGTATGAAAAGTACCGGGCAGCAACAAGTCAACGGTGGATTAGGTATCTGGAGGGCTTGCCACCTTTAGGCAACCGCTAGGGGATCTGAAAGCGGACAACCAGATTCTTGAGTCACCCCTTTAAATCTGATTTTGCCCAAAAGGAGAACCGACATCCTTTTTTTTTGTTTTTGTTTTTTTTTTGGGGGGGGGATTCTTGTGGCGCAATCCTTGGAAGCGTCCCAGGCCTGGCGCGGTTTGCGTGTGCGCTGCTGGCCCAGGCGGGGGGTCTGGCGGGTCGCGGCGAGCGCACCGGGACGGGGACCGAGCTTTGGCTTCCAATTGCTGAAGATCAGGGCTCCTTAAAAGATCTCCATCTTGCAACCATTTGAAACATTGCTTTTTCCACGCCGAAATATAGTTGGAACCCGCCATTGACAAGTTGCAATGTTCAGGTGTTTTTCATGTAAAGATCCCTGAATATGAGTTATTTTCCCCTGTTGGTTTGAAAGGGAATCTATCACTACTTTTTTTTTAGCATAGTTTTTTGAGGGGGCTTAAGCAAATGGAAGTTTGCCAGGCTTCTTCATCATTTCGGGGGCCAAAGGTTTTAAAACGGGTTTTTGCCAGTCAGCTTGGCAGGGCAACAGTTGGGCAAAAACTTGGTTTCAATGGCAAATTAGGACCCTTAGTCCTTTGACAACATATTCGTGTTTCTCCCTAGTTGGCGACATAGCATGTACCCTGTTGTTCTTTAATTTCGCTGTTTGTGGTGTGGAGCGCCTCTTTGCTTTGATTGTTGAAGCTGTGTAAGAGTCTTGACTGTGAATAGGCCGATCAGCACCAGTTGCTAAGCTTGATGGGGACAGGAGCATGCCCCTCTTTTTGATTGAAGGACCTTCCTGACTTCCTGGATGACTTTGGCATCCGCCAAAACCTCCGCTTAACAATGCCACTTCCTATCCAAGCATAAACAAAGCACAATTTTGCATTGTAAAGCTGTTGCCCTGTCTGCCAATGCTGCTGGTTTTCATTGTTCCAAGGATATATGGACCGCAGGTTTTCGTCCTTTTTCCATTTGCCAGGGTTCAGTTTTGGGGTTCCCCCAGCTTTTCGGCCTTTGAAGCGCGGAGATGGGTGCGGCGCGTCGTTCCTTTTTTTCCAGTTGGAACATCATTTTTTTGTGGGTGTTAACGGGAAACCAAGAGGAAAACCATCATTTTTGGGGTCCTGCAAAAGAAAGGACACAGGGGTCGATTAAACAAAAGTCCTTTGCATGGAGTGACCACTAGGGAAACCACCAAAAAGATGACTTTCACCACATGGGAAAAGTTACCCATGCTCATTTTGCCCTAAATGTTGCCCCCATACGGGTGTGGGTCAAAATTAAACCACCAGAAAACCGCAGGTTTTAGTCCTTGGTTCTATTTGCCAGGGTTCCATTCCGGGTACCCATTTTTGACAACCACAGCCATATGTTTCAAGGGTAGTTTTGAGGATGTTTTACAATCTTGATTGCTATTGGGTTGGATCTTTAGACTTTAACTTTTTGGAAAATAAAGGTGTTTTCCACTAAACCCCCAAAAAGTTAAACTTTTGGAGGGGGGTCAACAGCAACCAAGCAATGGGCCCACTAGACCCTCACGGATCCGCCGGCGATCTGCAGGCGCTTTGCTTCTCCCGTGCCCGGCTCAGCATCGGCTCGGCCTGCGCGTTGGAACGTAAGGGAGCCCGGAATCCAAATCTGCTTAGGTCACTGGAAGTTTTTGGTTTTGTTTTGGGCTCTAGTCACTTTTTGGGTCTGGACCATTTTGGTGGTAAGCAAACAGTTTGGGGACTGCTTTTGGCCATTCTACTCAGGAACTCAGGTTTGAGCCGTTCAGAGCTACCGGGTGTTCTGGTTAGGGTCACGGCAGTTTCGGTTGCCACTAGCAAGTGACATGGTTGTGGAAGACTTGGTCTTAGAAGTGACAACAGTGACAAAGTCGTCATCACATAAAGGGTTCCACAACCACGGTCTGTGATACCAAGGGATCCCCTTTGAAGTTGTAAAGTAGTCATCTTGACTGCTATTGGGTTGGATCTTTAGACTTTAACTTTTTGAGAAACCTTACAGGTTTTCCACTACCCCACCAAAAAGTTGAACTTTTTTCAGGGGGGTCAACAGCACCAAGTCATGGGAATCCAATTTATCGTCATGTATCACAGGAAGGATGGGCTTTCCTTGGAGGCAGATGAAATCTGGGAAGCAAGTGCCTTGTGCTCCGTCCCATCCCCTTAGGGAACAGCCCTGCGAAAACCCTGGTATGCAGCTCATGCTTCCCTGAAGATAATGGTTCGGGGATGGTGAACGCATTTCTTAGCCTCAGCTTGTAGCTTCGTCTGACTAGCAGGGGGTTGAGATCTTGCAGGCCGATGTTTGCCAACACCATAGAAGGCCACGCGGGTTTGGACCAAAAGGTCACCCCAACACTTAGCTTTTTAGTGTTTAGTGGGGATTCCCATTCAACCCAGCAACAGTTCTAGTCACCTTTAGCGGGGGGGATCTAAAAATGGACAGCCCGGAAAAGGGAACCCTGGTAAATGGAAACAAGGAAAAACACCTGCGGCCCATATCCTGGTGGCGAACCTGTTGACCAATGCCGCATCTACTTTCTCCTTGACACATTCCCGGCACCGATCAGGAGCGATCCCTGCGCGGTGTTTGCCACCGTTTTTCCCCGTTTTCCCCTTGGAAAGAAATGTCCCTTCAAAATCAAGTTACCTTCCATTTGGTTGAGAATATGTATTTTCCCTTGTTTGTTTTTAAAGGAATCGATTTCACTACTGGACATGTTTTCTCATTTTTCCAGGGGGCTAACCAGCTGGAAGTTACCAACAATCAAGCACCCCTTTAAAGTCAGCTGCGCCCGGTAAACAAATAACTACTCCCTTCAAAAGCAACTACCCTTTTTCTTGACTGCTATTGGGTTGGATCTTTAGACTTTAACTCTTTGCGAAATACAGGTGTTTTCCAACAGCAACAAAGTGTTCTTCGTCTACCTTGAAAATACACACCTTTAAAGTCAACTACCTTTTTCTGGCATCTCCAATGCTATGGTATATTTCGGGTAGACTAACTATGGGGCAGACTCGGGACATATGATTTTTGGAGTAATGGGAACCCAGGATGAAATTTTCTTTGGAGATGTGTCTCGAACTAGGGTGGAAATGATCTTGGGTTTTCCTTTAAAACGGGTGGTCCCTGGTGAAAGGCAAATCCGGGGTCGCTTTGGGGGTCCTTTGGCTAACTTCGCAAAAACAAATTCGGGGTGGCTTTGGGGGTCCTTTGGCTTAGAACCAAAAAACAACGGGGGGCCCTGGCGGATTCTTTTTTTCGTTTTTCCCCCGCGCTTCGCTTCTCAGCGCTTAGGCCCGTGGCGGCCCTGGGCGGAGCAGTTGGAGGCGTCCAGTTCGGCAGCTCGGGGTCGGAGGAACCGGGTCCAATTGGGTCGATGTCGTGGACTAGGGGGGGGGGGTTGCAAGGGGGGGGGGTTAAAATAAGGGATAGCTCTTTATTTTTTTTTGGGGGGGGTGGATAAGCTGACGAGCCAAGGAGAAGCACTGAAATAGGGCTTGAAGAAAAGGGGTTGATAAGGGATAGCCGGGGGTGTTTGTTGTACCGTGTTGCCCTGTTCAGAGATACGGTTTCAATTTTCCAAAGATCCAATTGCCAAAAAGGTCCGACTTTCAACCCGACTTTCAACGGCTCACAGAAGAGCGATTTTCCGTTTGAGCAAGTTACAGCATGTACCCTTCAACGCACATATTTGTATTTTGAAGTTAGTCTTGTAAATTCGTATTAGTCCACGGATTGAGGAAGCAGGTGAGCTTCACATAACCATGGCTTGCAACTCAAAACAGATGTCTCGCGGATGCATCCCATTCCACTTAACAATCCATAGCTTATACCCCCCCTTTCCGAGGGTGTGTATTGTTTGACCAGCACATAGCAGAAGCTTCGCTGATGGAAACTTCAAGATACAACATGGCATGAATAAACGTCCCAACGGTGCTGACTTCCCCTCTTTCCCTCTTTCCATCTTCTCCTCTTTCCCTCTTTGTCAGTCCTTTTCTTATTGGCCTGCTTGTTTCCTTCTGCTTCTTCTTCTGCTCTTTCTCTCTCTCTCTCTCTCTGTCTGTCTGTCTTTCTTTCTTTCTTTCATTCTTTCTTTCTTTCTTTCTTTCTTTCTTTCTTTCTCCCTTTCTCTTTGTTTCTTTCCTCTCCCTCTCTCCCTCTCTCCCTCTCTTCCTCTCTCCCTCTCCCCCTCCCTCTCCCCCTCCCCTCCCCTCCCCTCCCCTCCCCTCCCCCCCCCTCCCCTCCCCTCCCCTCCCCTCCCCTCCCCTCCCCCCCTCCCCTCCCTCCCCTCCCCTCCCCTCCCCTCCCACTCTGTCGCACTTGAAGGTCCCCTTTTTTACTGGGATCTTTTCGACCATTACTTTCTTCGTGATGGCAACATTTTCCTTGGGGCAGGGTGACTTGGCGAATCGCTGCGACCAGGCGCGGGACATGTGAATTTGCTCGAACTGAATATGTTGTTTAGTACCTTGTTGGTTTTAATCTAGAGAACGATTTGGATATGGCGAATCCGTGGACCCCATTTCTGGAGAATGGGCCTTTTCCCTTTGGTTTGCCTTAACTTTATCCCATAAAAGGAGACTGAGTCAAAAACAAATACACATGTGCACATACACACCCATATGTGCGGCGTGTCTTTTTGTGGAGTTGGTACGTGGTGGTTTGGAGGTGTTCCGGGTGGTGAGGAGGTTGTTTTTGGTGTTTCTTTGGAGCAGGGTTGTGGGATCAAGGAGTTTATCCCCACTTCTGTGATACAAGTCAATCTCCCCCTTTATATTGGGGGTTAGTCTTTGGGAAACTTTTTTTTGTATCACAGAAGTGGATTCCATTTCCAACAGCCCTGCTTTGGAGTACTCAACTCAATTGCTCAGCTTTTTTGTCGGTTTTTGGAAGGTTTGCAGAGCTTCGGTCAGCCAAAGGGAGGACCTATGAAGCAGAATCTGAGCATCTTCGAACCCCGAATTTGGGGCCAAGTTTGCCCTTCGCTGGTCAAAAAATGATCTGCGGAGAAAGCCGCTTTCAAAGGCTTCAGAATGACCAAGCCCCAAAGTATGGAATTCAGTTGAGCCAGGTTCAGAGCTTACCATCTTTCCAACAATCATGGAAGTGCACAAAGGGGTTCCCCAAAAGGAAAATAGTCTTCCAAAGCTCTCCTGTCAACTTCCATGATTGTTGGAGGGAGCTTATTTTACTCTCATTTGAGCCACTCGCTCAAAACCCGGGTACTTGGAGGGTGGTAAGGCCCAATTTTTAACCAGAAATGGCTGCGGATATCCGCCTTCTCAATTCTTGAAGCATGGTTCTGGGTAGACCATTTTAGTGCCAGGTTTTGATTGTGACTCATTTGCTTGGTTTATCCTTAAGCGGGGTGTTCCAGGGCTCTGGTGGTTCCATTTTTGACACTTGCCCTTGTGACCAAAGCAAAAGCTCGCAACTCAAGTCTTCCGAAGCCGCGCGGAAATTTCGGCGCAACCAGACACACAGCATTCATGCGACCCCTGCGTTCTGGTTGCACCGGTGTTTCATTTTGGTTGCACCGGGGTCACTATTTTGACTGTTTCTGGGGGTTATCAAAGTCAGAAATTGGAGCTGCTTCCCTTTAACCACCACCTAGGGGGTGACTTTGATCATGGTAAAACAATGGGGCCAGTTGCACCTTTTAGTTGCACCCCGCAGTAAACAACTGGAGTCGCTCAGCGATCAACTGCAAGGTGCTATCCAGGGTGGAAATTACCAGGGACCGAGGGGTCTCTTTTCTTCATTTTCAGAAGAGTATTTGTTATTTCCTCTATAGCTCTATATTATAATATTGGTTTTAAAATTAGGGATCTATCACTATTGGACATATTCGTATTTCTTCCAGGGGACGTAAGCGAATGGAGGTTCTGACTCCCCACTAAAAGGGGAAAGCCTCAAAGAATCCACCTTAAAGGATGCCCAAAGGGCACTTTGATCCGACTAAAAGTGAGGTTCCTTTCGAGAAAAATAAGAGAAGAAGAGGACCATGGGGCCCAAGCAAAGGTGGGTCCAAAGTGCCCCACTCCAAGAGGGCCGAACCAAAGGGTCCAACGGGTTGGACTTCATACACCGCCAATGGCGTGCACCCAAAGTCATGCGTCCGATGTCGCAGAACCCAGTTGTCAGAACCCTCTTCGTCGGGCCTTTGGAGATTCAGCCGAAGTTGTCTTCGTTGTGACCTTGCGCATATCCATGCCATTTGCTTCTCACGCGCGTCGCGCGCCGCCCCGTGTGAGGCTCGGTTTGTGGGCGACTCGTGCGCTTAGTCGACCGTAAACTTCCGTTGGCTGAATTTTCCTCGCATTTTGCAACCATTTGAAACATGGCTTGTTCCGTACCAAAATAAAGGGAAACCACCATTTACAAGTGGGTGTCCTCTCTTTTTTTGGTTGAGGGCATCCTCTTTCTGTAGGGTTTTGGCATCCTTTCCTTGAAACCCCCCTTTTTTGTAAGGATCCCCTGGTTTTATGGGGCATCTATGGTCCTTGGCGTCCGAAGCGATCTCCGAACTCCTGTCTTTCAAGTCAAGCCCGGAAACGCCCGAAACCTGACTTAAAACCTGAAGCATTCGGGCGGCTCGTTCTTTTTGTTGAGGCCGGGTAGGCCTTGAATGATTGGTTTTTAAAGGGAAAGACAGGGAACACCGAACGCCGAAGCCAATCTTGGGGGTCCATATCCTATCGAGACAAACCTATTCAGGATTTAATCAACTCCAAAGCCGACCTTTTCACCTTTGTGGTTTCCCCCGATTTGGTCCACATGTGGTTCAGGTTCCACCAGGATCGACCTTTCGTTTCCCCTTCCAAACAGGGGCAAGTGAGGTACACCTGTACCCTTCCCCAGAATTAGTTCCCCCCCTTTTTTTTTGGGGGGGGGGTCCCCTTTGTTTTCCACATTTTCCAGGCCAGAAAGAGATCTCATTTTGTTGCTGGGGTCCTCTTCTTCCAGCCCAGAACCAGGATTTCATCGACCTCAAAGCTTTGGGGTCAGTCAACCACTCGGAAGCTTCCCCCGCGCCGGCGCGCCAGCGGAAAACGCCAGCCTGCGCGCCGGCGGCGTCGAGCCATGGGATGGCGCGCTTCGGGCGTTTGCGCCTGGGGTGCTGCTGGGAGAGATTTTGCGACGGACGATTCTTTGACGACCTGGAGTCGCCCTAAGGACCCAGGGTTGTGGAATCAAGGGGTTTCTCCAGCCACTTCTGTGATACTTTCGGGAATCTCCCCCTTATGGGGTGTTAGTCTTTGGGAAGCCCTTTTTGTTGTATCAAAGAAGTGGTCATTTCCCACAACCCTGCCATGACCCTTTCAACATGGGTCCGTGACCCCTTTATTTTGCGTAATGACCAACCATTTTTTAAGGGTCCTTAGGGAGACTCCAGGTACCTGGAAACCCATACGGGACAACCGATCCTACGGGGTTTTGTCCGAAAAAGAAGTTTGGCCATACGGCTTTCCAGGTACAAGCTAGCAGAATGAGCAAGTGCACAGATGTTGAAGAATCCATTGGCCATGTAAATCCTATGTTCTTACTTGGATGTTCGGCCAGGTATGCCTTTTTTAGCCACCTGGGCAAACACCCACTATCGCCAGGGTTATCTCTACCTGGGGGGGGACCCCAAATCGGGGTTGCAACAATTCACCAACAACTTATGTCAGCCGAACGCCCAAGTAAGATCTAGAAGAATCATGAAACAAGTGCACAGTCTTTGCTATTTAAGTCATAGAAACCAAGGTTTTTCGGTTTGACAAAAGATTTAAATCCATTTGGGCGTGCCTTTTTGTTTGGACTCGGACCCGCCCCAAGTTGGGCGCATCGGTTTTAAGCCCACCAAGAATTCGGGGTACCCTCGCCGAAGAAGAGACGCCCATGTCTGTCTCCTTGGCTTCACTGTTGTTGGCCAGGAGTTCTGTTGGTTTTTAGGTTCGGGGGCTTCAACAAACTGGCAGATTTTTGCTACCGCACTACTTCCATTTGCTTAATATGTTTGTTTTATTATCCCCTCTTGGATTTTAAGGGAATCTATCACTGGAGCGGTTTTCGCATTTCTAGGGGACGAAAACAAGCGAAAGGAAGAGTAAGGATCGGAAAGCGGATCCTTAGGTTTCGGGCTGAAGGTGCGCCTTGATCCAGCAAACGGATTGGATGCGTTTTCCGTGGATTCTCCGGTCGTTTTCTCAGCTCCTCTTTTATTACTCCAGTACTCTTTTGCTATCCTGCGTGTGGATCCACATCCAAACTGTTTCCTAGAATTTGTCAACCAACCAGTTTATCAATAGAGGGGTGGTTTGTGGCCCCTCCAAAAGTGGTCTGATTCCAACAATATTTCACCTAGTTGGACACTTTCTGAAACTCAATTGGTTGGTTGATGAATATGCTAGGTCCCCCAGTAGTGCCCTTTCTCACCCTTTTTCGGGGGAGGGTTCCCCTACTTTAACATAGACTACAGAAAAGAAATGGTACCAATTATTCTAACCTCGCTACTGGAGGACCTAGTATTAATATGGGGAATTCTAAGCCCACCTTGAATCCGCCGACTGGTCACTGTTGCCTATGAATATTACATTACACCCCCCCATCACACCCCATTACACCCATTACACCCCATTACACCCCCCACTCATGACACTCCCCCCATTCCACCCCCCGACAACTGGTCAGCAATAGAAACACTCCTCTGGTGATAATTTCCATTTAACCCACTAAAAGTTAAACTTTTAGCGGGGGATCTGAGGGCAGCGCAGAAATATGGGGTCAACATTAGAACAATTGGACACTTTCTGAAACTCAACTGGTTGGTTGAATATGGGGTCAACATATCCTACCAGCCCCACCCCACACTACCCCGTACCACCCACTCCCACCACCCCCACCCCACCCCCACCCCACCCCACCCCACCCCCAACCCCCCACCCCCCCACCAGCCCCAACCCCCCACCAGCCCCACCACCCCCAACCCCCAGGTCTTTGAGCCGAGGCTTGGCCTTGGGCTTCCTCCTCTGCCACTTGGCCTTCGAGGCGCTGAACGAAGCCTTGGTGCGGCTGCCCGAGGTGCCTAAAGGCCGACGTCCCGAGAGCGTCCCGACGCGCGGGGCTGGAGGGAGGTGGAGGTGGTCATACGGTTTTTGGCCCCGCAACCACCCAAGACCTTTTCCTTTGGCGCATTTTGCCCAGGGATGTTAGGACTTGAGAACTTTTTGCCGTGCCTAATGGATGTTTTCCTTATTAAAGCGCGAAAAGTTAAAGCTTTAGCAGGGGAGCAGAAAAGAACCGAGAACCCTTTCTTTCTTTTTGTCAGTCGGTATGAGTTGTGGACCCTCTAGAAAAGAAGGAATGTGCCCCGGAAAGTCATGTTTTCCGAAGAGTACCCGGAAAAGAAGAGGGTATATATATATATATTATACACCTGGAAAGCCGTATGGCCGGTTTTTTTTTGGACGGAACCCGTATTTGGATCATTTTTCCCGTATGGTCATTTTTTGCTGGCCGGTGGCCGTATTTGGCCGTATGCAACCCGTATTTGTTCAACAAATTGTTGACAAAAAGCCGCAACTAATCGTATGGTCATTTTTTTGTGGCCCAAGCCGTATGGACAGAAAAAAACTCACATATGGGTTTCCAGGTCTATAGGTAGGCAGGTAGATCGATCGATTTTATCGATAGATATTTGCTCTGCCCCCCCATGATCCTCCAGCTCTGAACACTACCTGTGCAACCAATTCCCGGGCAACAAAATGGTATTGGGAATCCCAAGGATCGATCTGCGCGGCGTTCCGTGTGTACTCAGCGCTGGCTTGGAGGTTCTCCTAAACCGCTTGGCCTGTGTGACCAAATCGCCCCAGAAGGAGCTTTTGGAAAAACGCCCGAGTGCATCAAACCAATCCAGGGTTGTGGGATCACTCGGGTTTTCCTCCCCACTTCTGTGATACTTTCGGGCATCTCTCCCCCTCTTTTTGGGGCGAAGTCTTGTTTCCCCCAGCCCTGAACCAATCGGAGGGATTTGGGTATGGGTCAAAATAAACCCACCGGGGGACTACAGGTTTTAGTCTTTGGTTCCATTTATCAGGGCAACCCATTTTGGGTTCGCATTGTTGACCCACAGCCATCTGCCCATAGGTGTCCTTTTTGGTTGTTCTGGTCAAAAAAGATAGATGGCGATTCTGATCGGTTTACCTGGTGGTTTAATCATCTACCAGGGAAATCCATCTATTTGCCCCAAAAGGACACCACAGCCATTTGCCTCTTGTGAGGCGTGACTTTGTGGAGCGTGGCCTCCCAGTTCGCGTGCTGCACCTTCGCCCCGCTGGCGCTGTCGCTGCGGTCGGCGGAAACGCTGCCGCGGCGGTCGCTGCGGGAGTGGGCGCCGTGCTTTTGGCTGCGATTCGACTCGCGCTTCGGGCCGGTTGGGGTGAAAGCTGCTGGCAGGATCTGAGGGTTGCCCTTGTCCAGTTCAACCTGTTTTCTGGGAGTCTGGGGGAGGGCTGCATTCTTGAGCTCCAAACAAGATGGAACGGGGGATCCGGGATCCGACGCCTTTCGCGCCTACTTTGGAGTACTCAAACGTTGGCAACCTGGTTGAGCCCGGGCTTTGTGGCCCCGGACTTCTTTTGTTTCTTCTTTCTCCGGGGTCCAGAGCTTCCGAAGGTGAAACAATTTCTAGCTCCCCCAGTAGTAGCTGGAACAAGGACCAAACAACAAATTTGCTGGTTTTCCTTTAAACCACCCCCTCCCAAAAACAAAGAGAACTAGGTCCCCCAGTAGTGCCCTTTCTCGCCTTTTTTTGGGGAGGGTTCCCCTACTAAAATAGACTACAACCAAAAAAATGGGTACCAACTTATTCTAACCTCTCTACTGGGTGACCTAGGGATGTTCAAAAGATCCGATCCGGGCTTGGACGAGCGTGTCAACAGCCATAGCTTCAATCAGGCTTCCTTTCGGTAGATGTGTCGGTAGGTGCCGGTAGGTGTCGGTTGCGGCACTCCTTGGAACTTCTTTCATTTTTTCGGTAGGGCTCCTTAAACGATAGATTTTGCAACCATTTGAATCATGGTTTTTTCCAACACCAACTTGAAGGGAAACCACCATTTACAAGGCAATGTTCAGGAGTACAATGTAAGGACCCCTGTTTTGGTCGGAGGGTGTCCTGTCTTTTTTTGGTTGAGGGCATCCACTTTCTGTATGGTTTTGGCTTTCCTTGAACCCCCCTTTTTGGTAGGAGGGCATTGTCTAAGCAGTTGGCTTGCTGTGTTTTTGTGTTTTGAAAGGTTTCAAGGCAAGAGAAAAGGTCTCCTCTTTCTTTCCAGCAAAGCGAGCAGTTTGATTCTTAAATGGTCCCAGTTTCAAGCAGCTCGATAGGCAGACTTTGGGGAATCATGTAAGGAGAAAAGCCCGTGAGGCAAGCGCGGAGCTCCCGAAACTTGCAGGCTGAGCAGGGCGCCTTAAAAAGAAATCTCCATTTTGCAACCAATTGAAGCATGTTGCTTTTTCCGTACCAAAATGAAGTTGGAAACCACCGTTTACAAGTTGCAATGCTCAGGTGTATATGGGTGTGGCTCAAAATTAAACGATCGGAGGGGCAAACCGCAGGGTTTGGTCCATGTTTCCACTTACCAGGTTTGATTTTGGTACCTTCCTTTTCTTGAGCCACAGCCATACCCCTTGCACCCAATACCCACTTTTTTTAGGGTATCATGTCGACCCTCTACTTAAAAAAAAAGAAAGGTATTTACCTTGAAAAACCGAAACCGGTTTTCCCAAGAATACCCTCAAACAAGCGGGTATTTGGAGTAGGGGGTATTTCATGTAAGGATCCCTGCTGAGTGTAGTTTTTCTGCCCTCTCGAAACTATAGAGTTCCTTTTCCCAATGGAGCGCCGCTTTTCGACCGCGGCGCAACCTGCCCAAAGGAAGCTTCGAAGGAGCCTTCGTCGTGCTGGAGCTAATTAAGCTGTGTTCTCCTGAGGGACACGCATAGAAACATATACATACGTGTATGAATATATATATATATGTATTAAACAAAACAGCACACATGTATGTATATGTACGCACACTGCGCGTGAAGGCATGAACGCATCCGAGCATTTGCCTTTGGGGTTCGAGCCGACGTTACAAAGATGGGAGTTAATTTGGGGTGTCCCCTGTTTGCTCGGCTTTGAGGGGACGCCAAATGGCAACCAACCGTTTGCGATTCTTTTTTGGTTTGAGCTCAGCTGATAAAACCAGCATCGACCTAGGGATTGCAATCATCTAAATTGAGTCCTTGCCATTTCAATGGGGGCTGAACCCTAACCTCACTTTGCGCTCGCGGTTCGTGTGAGGTTTGCGATGATCTCGGCCATGGTGCCGCTTGGCAGGTAATAGCCGGGCGCCGAGGGGCGACTTCGCAAACAGGCTTACCCCCAACTGCCCGCAAGATAAACATTGAGCAAATGGGCATGTCTTTTTGAGGGTTCCCCTTTGTGTTGTGGTTTTCAAGAAATACGATAAGAGCAAGCAGGTTGTTGATTTGTTATTTTCTTTGTGGGGCGCCCCAAAAAGAGACACGCCCAAATACCCCTGATCTGGTGGCTATGCAGTGGTAGACCCACGTGTTCCCCAGGGGTGGCTTAGGGGGTAGTGGAACCGCGCGGCGGATTCCAGACGATTCAGCCCGTTCGGCCAGTTTTAGATACGCCTCCGCGGTTTGGGAGTCAGAAACTCAGTTCTTCAGCGGCACCCTTTTTCTTTTTCCAACTTGTTTTTGGATGGCTGCCAAAAACTAAATATGGTCCTCCCGCGCCAAAAAGGGTTCCAATTCTCTTTTTTTTTCCAGGGTCACTGAACAACTGAGCAGCTGAATCTCGAGATTCCAGGGTTTGGCTGGGGGAGATTGGGGTTAATTGGGGGTTGCATTGGGGGTGACTGTTGGGACAACAAACGCTTCATTCTTCGTAGTGAATCCCCTTTGGCTGGTTTCAAAGGGACACCAAAAGTTGAAAAGAGGAAATCGTTCAGGGTCTGAAAAATGAATAGGTACTTTGATGTTCGGCCAAGTTGGTGAGGACCGGTTAGGATCGGTGGTCTATTTCAGGGCTTTCTGCCTGGTGTGTTTCTTCATTTCATGGTTTGGATCACTCCTGGCTTTTGCGGAGCGCGAATGGGTGTGGTTCAAAATTGAACAGGAGGGGCAAACCGCAGGTTTTGGTCCATGTTTCCACTTACCAGGGCAACCGATTTTGGAATTCCGGTTTTTGTAGCCACAGCCCAATGGGAACCACCCGAAAAACCCGAAGCACCAACTCCTCACTTCGGCGTACGGGTGGTGGGTTCAGCCTGCAGCTGTTTGTCACATCTGTCGCAGGCCCTAGCTCACGTGAGTTCGTCTCTCGGCCTGTCTTTGCCGGTACGCCAAAACTTCCATTTGCTGAAATGAACATTGTTTAGTTTTCCTTGTTGGTCTTAAAAGGAACTTATCACTACTGGACTTTTTTTTCCAGGGGTCTTAACCAAATGGAAGAACAAATGGGTTTATCCTCAAAAACGAGACATGGCGGGACCCCCTTGATTTGAATACATGTTGTTGTGTCTCATATTCGTGTTGGACAACTTGAATGCACTCAGAAGAAACCTTTCGAAGGCGCCATGAGGGTGGATGTTCACTTGCCCAGCGGAGATGGCTGCTCCATAGAAGTCTCGCCAGAGACGCCCATCAGCGAGCTGAAGGCTGCAGCACAGAAGCATTTCCAGCGGCGCTTAAAGCTCACTGCGAAAGGCCGGCAGCTCGATTTGACGGCCACGCTGAGTGAGGTCGGGTTGCAAGATGGGGACGCAGTGGCTGCGGTTGTGAACCTTGGCCAAGTGGCTGCCACAAATCAGGCATTTGCCTTGCATGGCCGCGGGCGCGAAGTTGTCACCTGGGGCGATGAAGACTCTGGCGGAGACTGCAGCCGAGTGAAGGAGCAGCTGAGGAACGTCCAGCAAATCCAAGGAACTGACAGTGCTTTTGCTGCCATTCTTGAATCCGGGGCTGTTGTTACCTGGGGCGATCCACAACGTGGTGGAGACAGCAGCCAGGTGCAAGAGCAGCTGAGAAACGTCCAGCACATCAAAGCAGGTGTGGGTGCATTTGCTGCCATTCTTGAATCTGGGGCTGTCGTGACTTGGGGTCAAGCAGACACGGGCGGAGACAGCAGCCAGGTGCAAGAGCAGCTGAGGAACGTCCAGTTTGTCCAATCAACTAGTGGCCTGCTTGGTGGTGCTCTTGCTGCCATTCTTGAATCTGGCGCAGTTGTGACCTGGGGTGATCCGGAATACGGCGGAGACAGCAGCCAGGCGCAGGAGCAGCTGAGAAACGCCAAGAACATCCAAGCAACTTTCCGTGCTTTCGCTGCCATTCTTGAATCTGGAGATGTTGTGACCTGGGGTCGTCCAGATTACGGCGGAGACAGCAGCCAGGTGCAAGAGCAGCTGAAGAACGTCCAGCACATCCAAGCAACTAGCGGTGCTTTTGCTACCATTCTTGAATCTGGGGCTGTTGTTACCTGGGGTATGGCACACCGTGGCGGAGACAGCAGCCAGGTGCAGGGTCAGCTGAGAAATGTCCAGCAAATCCAAGCAACTGACCGTGCTTTTGCTGCCATTCTTGAATCTGGGGCTGTTGTGACTTGGGGCGATCCACAACGTGGCGGAGACAGCAGCCAGGTGCAAGAGCAGCTGAGGAACGTCCAGCGCATCCAAGCAACTGATTATGCTTTTGCTGCCCTTCTTGAATCTGGGGCTGTTGTGACCTGGGGTTCTCCAGAACACGGCGGGGACAGCAGCCAGGTGCAAGAGCAGCTGAGGAACGTCCAGCACATCCAATCAACTGCCGGCGCTTTTGCTGCCATTCTTGAATCTGGGGCTGTTGTGACCTGGGGTCGAGCAGACTATGGCGGAGACAGCAGCGAGGTGCAAGGGCAGCTGAGCTTGTAGTTCGGTGCTTGTGTAAGAAGGAGAGCAGTAATATTGGGTGTCAAAAGCGTGCTCAACACCACACACACAGACAAAAACTACACCACAAAACAACCCGACCAGCCCCAGCTGGTGTTTCAAGCCCCCGGCTCATCCAAAGCATCAAGGGTTACGAGCCCATTTGACAACAGCTCAACGCTCGGGTTCAGGCCGCCTGGTGAATATCATGATATTGCTCGCACGAAATTTGCCTTCCTTGGTGTGTGGGGGGAAATCCAAAGATGCAGTAAATGGCCTTCCTGGTTTCAAAGTGGTTTCCAGCAAGTTCCAGGTTTCCTTGAGTGCGTTGAAGAAGTTAACTGCAGCTCCTTTCTTAGTTTCATTGCCTTCCCTTTTTTTGTGGTTCGTCCCATTTGAGTATATTGGCAGCTGGACCATTTCCCTATGGTGTTTGGTGACCATTCTAGATCCTATGGACTTTTCCCAACAATGTTGCACTCTGTCTGATTTTTAGACAGCCCCCTTTGGGTCCGTTTCGTCCCCTACTCCGACACATACAGTTCCTCGTAATCGCATCATGGCTTCAAGAAAAGGTCCAGCTTAGAACAAGCAAAGGTCCGATGTTCCGCCTTTCTTCTCTTGGCTGCCAAGTATGACCGCCACAAAACAAGGTTACCCCCGCTGAGCGGGGGGCATAGTTACAAGCAGGTTATAACCGAACAGTTGCCGTTACAACTTACTAACTTGGCGAATGGGATACCCAAGTACCCCTAAAGAGGACACACCTTCAAGGGGCTTACTTTTGGGGCAACCAGCCAGGGCTGGGATTCGGCGGTGCAAGGTTCCTCTCCAACAGCCTATCGCAGTACTCCACGCACTACGTGGCCCGCGCAAGCAGCCAGCAAGCTGTTTCGTGTTTTTGGTAGTGTCAAGTTTGATTTTCTGCAGAAGAACAAAGCATTCAATTGTACCAAGCCTTTCTTTGCAGCTAGTTGTTTTGGATACAAACACTGACCAGAAAGAAAACAACAACTCATGGTTTAAGGGGGGACAGTAGTGAACAAGTAGTATCTATAGTTAGAATTTGGAATACCGCCCCAACCCACATTTGTTTGCTGAGCAGAACATCGCTTAGTAGCATCTCGCGGTTTCACCAGGACACATCTCCGACGACTTCAGGCCCCCGGGGGGGGGGAATTCGAAGTCGGATCGCTAGGTGGAGTTCACATTGAAGATCGTGGCCAAGTCCAGCAAGCTGCCGGCAACCCCAGTGACGGACTTTTTGGCGGCGGAGCTTCTGGTTGGTCTGTACAAATGCCTGGAAAAAAACATCCTCTGGCGGTGGCACCCCGTTTTTTCTTTCGCGTGATTTTGGGGGCGTTTTTGCGTTCGTCTGTCGTTGGCTTTGGAGGATAAAACCTCCTACTGCAATTTGGAGCGCCTGTAAAAACCGGAAGGAGGCAGCTTGCGGACAGTTTGATGGGTGGGCCAAGGCTTTTCGGTTGCCACTTGACGGGAATCCCCTACACAGTAGGGATGGCCATTGCTCAAGCAGATTTCGGTTGATTTTTGTTTGGGGCTCCAAGCGTCAAAAACTCGGCGACCAAAGGATTTTGTTTTTTTTGATCAATGGAAATCCGCAGGTCGAGCCAGTCGATGTTCACAATTCGCCGGCCACTGAAGATGCATGGGGTTAGCTGGTGTCTCCGGTCTTTATGGGCAAATTTCGATTTCCGAGAATGAGACCGAAGCTGAACATGTCATCCTTGTTTTGAGAGGCTGGCCCTGTTTTGCCCGCAGGCTCCAGCCAGCAGACCTTGGAAACACATCGGAGGTCCCAACAGGCTTGGATTCCTCTTCACTGTGGTGCTGGCATCCCCACCGGGTTTTGGAATGGAGTTGGGGGAGGGATTTCAAGGGGCTCCTGGAGATACCCCTGAACGGAATGGATTTGGAGGGTACGGCTAGATCCAAATGGGTTCCAAAGTGGAGGGGAGTTGTAGGGTACCGATAACATGGACTGGGCGGAAACCGGGGGCCTTGGGTGTGGTCTTTTGGTACCCTCAAGCTTTTAAAGGGGAACCAAAAGGAAACCAGCCCCCGTAATCTCCAAATACCCTCTTTTTCTAGCTGACTTTTTTTGTGGAGAACCGATCGGTTTTCCAGGGTAAATGCCAACCTTTGTTTAATAGATGGCTAACATCATACCAGCTGAAAAAGATCGTTAGTTGGTCTTGGGTGCAAGGGGTCGATTTTGCCGGACCGCCCGGGCTCAAAGCCGTTTCCGTTTCGGGGCGCGCAAGCAACGCGTGAAGCACGGCGCACGCGGTGTGTGCGATGCGAGGCTGCCCACGATGCTCATCTCGGGCATTCTGGGGAACTCGGGGCGGTTCGAGGCGCGCAACAGGGCGCAATTCCCTTGCCGCATGCATGTTGCGCTCTCAAGGAGCCTTTCTGATCACCAATGATCAGCCTTTCAAATTCTCAAGGCTCCTAATTGTTTCTGACTGATGGCATCATTCAAGTTTCTGACCTATCATTCGGGTTTGAATCCGGAGAGGGAGCCTGAGAAACGCCTACCACATCTAAGGGAGGCAGCAGGCGCGAAAATTACCCAATCCTGACACAGGGAGGCAGTGACAAAGAATAACAATACAGGGCATCCATGTCTCGTAATAGGAATGACTAGAATTTAGTCTCCTTTGTCCAAAGATGGTGGCTTTAAACATGAAAATAAATCTGTGAGCACTGGTTTAAGAGGGCGATCGCCCGATCCTGGCGGGTGCTTTTGGGTTGCTTTTTGGACCCATTTCTCGGTGCGTTTGCCGTCTCGCTCGAGTTGTTGGGAGATGTGCTGAAAGCGCTCCAATTCCACCGCAGGTGTTTTCTTTTTCGGTTAGTTTGCTTTGGTGCATTTTGCCGAGGGCTGTTAGGACTTGAGAACTGTTTGCCAACCAATGGATGTTTTCCGAACTCAACCATTATTCACTTTTAGCAGGGGAGCAGAAAGCAACCGAGTTTGGCAAGATGTAGATGGCTCTGGTTTAATTAGATGGGTTTTATATTTCATTTACCAGGCCATCTATCTTTTCTAGCCACTCGGCCCCTTAGGGAAGCCAAAACGCGGAGTATTTCAAACGTTCACTTTGTGGGTCCAGGCGCCTTGTTATCCACAAGGTTTGGGGTTGCGCTCAAAAATACGTACCCGAAATGGAACCCTGGGCAATGGAAACATGGACTAAAACCTGCGGTCCCCTTGTGGTATAATTTTGACCCATACCCAGCAAGTGAGAAAAAGAAAGGGGACATGGTGCAAAGAGCCAAACAACCTGCAAGCAGCCTGTTGTCGGTTTTCAGATGGGTGTACTTCTCCGATTTCGGAATCTTGACCAAATGAAATCCTCCGCTTTTTTCGGGATGGGCACATTTGGGTTTGTCTCAAAACAGGGAAGCGCCCAACATGAGTTGGCTTTCCACTTCCAATGTACCCCACTCCCTCTCAAAAAGGAAAGCTCTCAAAGAGACCCCCGAAGAGGACATTGTGTGTGGATTGTTTCCTTATCAAATTCTGTTTAAGCTCTAATTGAATTGTACTGTTCTATTCAACTCTAAGTTCAAGATATAGTTTTGATCAGAATTCTACTCAAGATCTGAATTGATCAAGTATTTCTTGTCAAGTTTAGAGAGCGGTCGTTGGTGGAGATGCGAATTGAGCACTCACAGCGGTACCAAAGGCTGTGTTTTACCGGTAGTGCTGGGGCTACAGAAAATAAACACCATTTTGGGAGCTCTGAATTCTGTCTTTATGGATCCTACTTCATATTATTGTTATATTCCAGGCAATTTGTATCTGAAGTTCCTGCTTGGTTTTCTCCATTTTTTTCTGAAACACCATCGCGCAACATGTACAAACGAGTGCACTCCCAGACCATACTTTCTGGATTTCAAAGGGAAGGCACAATGACAACCACAATTCCTCAGGGTCCCCTAGTCAGTTGGGAGAACTTCAGATCAAGGCGACACCTTGCGCCCCTCTCAGGACCCCCAGGAGTTTTGTCCAGCAGTTTGGGTCGGCCTATTAGAATCACGCCTCCATGGCTTACCGGTGGAATGTGTTGTTTTCTGCTGGCAGCTTGGGGTCTCAGGAGCTTCGACCCCGGTGCAGGGACTGGGCTTTTGGTTTGTGGCCGGGGTGTGGCCATAGGTGTCCTTTTTAGGTTCCTTTGCTCCAAAATAGACGGCACCGGTTTGGACGGATCTTGTTCCATTTACCAGGGCCATCTATTTGTCCAAAAGGCCACCTGTGGTCGTAGCTTTCTTTTCGGAGGCCTTGGACTACGCGGTGGCGCTGCTGCTGTGCGTGCCTTCGGCTTCGGTTGTTTGGTCCCGGTTTCAAACTTTGCTCAACAGGGTTGTGGGATCACTCGGGGTTTCTCCAACCACTTCTGTGATACTTTTGGAAATCCCCCCTTGATATGAACAACATAGTCTTTGGG